TGCATGAACAAAAAAGAAGCAATTCTTACCATTTTCAACAGCATGGATGGAACTGCAGAGCATTATGCTAAGTGAAATAAGCCAATGAAAGAAAAATAACACATGATCTCACTCATTTATGGAATATAATGAACAACATAAACTGATAAACAAAAACAGATCCAGAGACAGAGAAGCATCGATCAGACCGTCAAACCTGAGAGGGAAGGTAGGGGAGAGTGGGGGTAAGGGGGAGAGGTCAACCAAAGGACTTGTATGCATGCATATAAGCCTACCAATGGACACAGACACCAGGCAAATGAGGGCATGAGTTGGGGTTGGGGGGGTAGGGGGAGCAATGGGGGGATAAGGACACATATGTAATACCTTAATCAATAAAGAAAAAAAAGCAAGGCCAAAAAGAAAAAAATTTTAAAAAATGGATTGGCTCACATGAATGAGAAGTCCACAGGCTGACTGGCTTCAGGTGCAGCATGATTCTACAACTCAATTTGTCATCAAGGATCCATATATTTACTTCTCTCCGCTATGCCTTCTTGGGTGTCTGCATCATTCTAAGACTGGGTCCTCTCATGGTCCAGCATCTTCCTCTTGTCTAACAGGAAAGAGAACCTCAGCATTCTCAGCAAAAGTCCTAAGAGTCATTGTATCAAACTGCCTTAGAGCCAATACCCACCCTGACTCAATCTTTGAGTCCAAAGGAATAGAATGTACTGGATGCCTAGGTTGTGTCACCTCTGAAGGCAGAGTGAAGTCAACTTCTCTGAAGCTTCATAGATTCCTAAAGAGAAATTGGTGCTATTGAGAAGGAGATGAGAGTTTAAAGAAACTAAATAATTTTAAAGAAACTTGAAATCATATTAGACCTATTCAATTTAAGTACATGTGCTGAAAAAGCAAGCCCTAGACATAGTCAAACAACACCTTTTAAATCACTCTAATCATTTGTACTACTTTATCTTCCACTTATATACTCATCTTTTATTAGACTTTATGAATAGCTTAGAGTTCCTAGTTTTTCCAAAAAGATTACCCTCAAATTTCAATAGTCAGTATTAAAAGACCCATATTTATGGATAAAAGTTAATTATATATTATTGATAAAAAACTAGAGGTCCGGTGCATGAAATTCATGCACGGTAGGGTCCTTAGGCCTGGTCTGCGATCAGGGCTGCTCTGGGCCTTCCAGCTGCCAATGGGGGCCTTCCTTTGTTCCACGTCTCCCCCTGGTGGTCAGCACATGTCATAGCAAGCGAACGATCTCCTGGTCAAACTCCCGTGAGGAAACTGGGGGAGAGCTCCAGGGTATGTCCAGCCTGTCTTGCTCAGTCCCAATCGCCCAGACCCCAGCAGCAAGCTAACCTACCATTCAGAGCGTCTGTCCCCTGGTGGTCAGTGCACATCATAGCGAGCATTGAACGGCCTTAGCATATCATTAGCATATTATGCTTTGATTGGTTGAATGGATGACCAGACGACCAGACACTTAGCGTATTAGGCATTTATTATATAGGATGTTGCTAAAAGTCATGCGTATAAAAATCATGCCTATTGTGTGATGTTATTTTTCTTAGTCTTATATTCATAGAAAAAATGGTATAGTAAAATGTTATCAATAGGTGTTAATTTTTACTTCATTCCTTTCAAATTTATGTGAATAGAGGATGGAGCAAAAACAGATTTACAGTTGTGAGTACATGAGTTTATTCTTATAATATTTTTTAATTGTTGTATTATTGTTCATATGAATAACTGTAAGCCTACTTTTGGCCCATCCTGTATTTTATAATTATTTATTACATTCATAATTATTTTTTAAAAATTAGATACTGAAACTGTGAATATGTTAAGTATTAGCCCCAGTTTAGTGACGTGGCCCAGCAAAAGTGACTTCATTTTTGGCCTGTGGTTTTTTTAACAATTGGAAACAAAGGTGAAGTGAGAACAGGAGCAGAATACGTAACTTTTCTATAGTTTCAGTTTCTGACCATTTTTTTCCTGCTTACTTTTCAGATCCTTTTATAACAGTTAGACAGACAAGAGCAGAGCAATGACGATGGACCAGATACAGAAGGTCACCAGTTTGAAAAGCCCTGGGTGACTCCCTAGGGTGACCTTTCCTCCCCTAGCATATACTGGTCATGCAGTTTGGACCCCCTGACCTTTCATCCCTAGAGATAACATCTAGGCTTCAGTTGTATTTCAGCTCCAGGCCAGAATAGCCACAGAACCAGACAAGCAATGCCATGGTTGACCTCAGGGCCAGCTGCATTGAATCATGACCCTCTGCCCTGGTGCCAGCCAATCTATCAATAGGAACCACAACCCTGAAAGGACAAACCTGGAAAACTGCTGAATATTCTACTGAAATCTACCCCTGGGACTTCCCCTAAAAACGTCACCCTTAAAACCCTTAGGATGGACCCAGGTGCTCTCCCTTCCGGGAGCACCCCATGCCTCTCCGGTTCCCCCAGGCACTTACCATTACCTTCCTCACTCCCAAGCTCCAAGGGCCCTTCCTCTGCCTCTATAACTTGTTTCCTAAACCCATTTCTTCGACAGATTACTTCTTCTGTCTCTGAGATTGTCCAAATAAATGTTCTCTTGTAGTGACGCTTGGGGAGATATTAAGTGGGATCAGGTTATAAACATTTTTAAGTTTGAAATAGTTTTCCTTCCAAAGGACTAAGTCAAATACAGGATTCCTTCTGGTTTCAAACGGAGTTCTAATCACCTAACACTATGGATAGGTTCTTGGAACTGCAAGGAAACAACATATAACAAATTAATATACACAAGATTTACATTCTTGGAATTTCATCAGCGTTATAACAAACCACGTGAAAGCAAAGGTGCTATTGGAGGATCTACCGTATTCGGGACCCCTTCATTCAAGAAGCTCTGGAAGTTTTCCACGAATACACAACCAGTTTCCTCTTGGGAGACCAAGGGGATATGCAGGTAGTTCCCCTCAAAATATAAACACAGCCAGGCAGGGACCGGGAGCTCATTCTAAATTAAGCACAGTGCTAAAGCTTCACAGACATTTAAATCTGAGTTAGCCAAGTCAAGGTCACGCTGCCTTGAGAAAGAGGAAGGCGGGATTCTGAACCAGGTCTGATTCTTATTTAAATCCTCCCGCTTAAACTCTGGGCCATAAACATGACTAGGTTAACAAAGAGAGGAATTGGCGGATGGCACGACGACGCTGGGGTTAGAGGGAAAGATTAAAGGTCTCTGAACTGAGTTTAGGAAAACACGACACGACGATTACCCACTGCGGCCGCCATCTTGCGGGAGCCGGGCGGCCGGAAGTCCCGCCTCCTGAGTCTAGTGATTGGGCCGCTCGCTGGGGGCGGGGCCTGGCACCCTGAGTCTCCTCATCGAGGAGGCGGGGGCGGAGCATGAGGGTGGGCCCGGAGGCTGGGAGGCTGGGAGGCTCGCGGCGAAGGGCGGGGCCTGTGAGAGGGGCGGGGCCGGGAAGGGGCGGGGCCAGGAGGCGAGGCGGGGCCGCAGGGCCGGCCCAGGAGGAGCTGACCCGGCCACCGCTTCTCTGTACCTCACTTTCGTGGAACGTGACTGAGCTCCTGCAGCCGGCAGCCCGCAGCTCTCTGCGAGGGGCGCTGTGCGCAGGAGATGACGGTGATCTCCTCCCTGCCTGGCCCCCGCGAGCACCGACTCCCTTCTCCTCGCGGCCCCGGGGCTGCAGACGTAGCAGGTGAGATGGGCCCCCGGTGTCCCCCGCCCCCTGGATCTGAGCAGGTGGGCAGCGCCCAGCCCTCGGCTCCCAGGCCCGAAGCCCACTGCCTGTGCCCGCCCGCCTCTGCCCCGCAGCGCCCGCCTTTAGGACGTGGGGGGCCACCGGGAAGGCTTACGTAGGGGCAGGGGCAGCTTGCTTGTCCCTTCTGGGAACAGGATTGCCATTCCCTAGTTCGAGGGGCACCTCGTTCCACCCTGTCATTCTCGGGTTCTTCCCTTTATCCCAAAGGGCGCCGTCGGTATCTGCCCTCCTGGGACCTTCTGCCCGTGCACTTGGAGAGTTGCCCCCAATTTCCTCCCCTACCCCCTTTCAGAGCATGTCAGTGACTCTGACGTGGTGACGCCCATGCCCAGGGGAGCCTGAAGGACCAGCTGGCCATCCCAGCCGCAGACCCCTCGCTGCCTGCCCACTTCTGCTGCTGCTGCCGGGCATTGGGTGGCAGCTGCTCTCGGCGGCCTGTGCGGTTAGCGGCTCTCCACACCCTTCCCTTGGAGGGCCAAAGTCTACAAGGAAGAGCCCTGCACAGGGCTCCCCACGCTGGGTCCTGGGCAAGGACATTTGGTTCCCCACAAGCAGCGGGCGTGGGTGGATGGTGTGTCTATTGCTGTTGGAGGGTGCTTGAATAGTACCACCCTCTTACGCTGTTCCCTGGGATCAAGGGGAAATGGACAGCCTGGGAGTTTAAAGCTTTCTCTTTGAATTTAATCCGGAAACCCTCTTCCCGATTTTTACTTCATAGCAATTATAATGTCAGTGGTTTTCTGGTGTTATCGAAACAAATACCAGTGGGCAGCAGCCTGAAGTGGTTTGTATATAGCATGTGTCCACCGCTGCCTCTTTTACTGACAGGTCAGTGTGTTTGTTACACAGTGAGCTTTGTTTTAATGAGATGAAAAAACTGGATGTAACTTTTTAAAGAAACTCCCATTACTGTGGTTCCTGTTTATTTTAAAAGAATGCTTTGGATAGCACATTTTCCTCCCCCAGGGGACGGGTGGGGGGAATTTAAATAAGATAAAAACTTTATAAGTCCTTTTTAATTATTTTGATTTCCCCTCAACTAGCAGGTATTCCCTTTATAATGTTGAGGAACATTAAAAGAAACCTCATGGAAAAGGGGAAAATTACTTTTCTGTTTTTCTCTTAATTTTCAACTAACTGAAAGTTAAACCTGGACGTTACTACAACTATTCGACCATCACCTTGAGAAAAATGAAGAGTTGTCCCTTCCCTGCTAACAACTATTTAAGATCAAACTAAATTAAATTGAACTCCTCTTAATTGTTTGGTATAAAATAAAAACAGATAAACTTATGACCCATCCTGTCCCTCTATTTTAGTTGAAGGATTTTTAATACCAAATATTGTTTGAAGAACTGACATAGGGCAATACAGTATATTTAATTTGTTATTCTTCTTATAATAATTAGGACTACGGTACAGCTCCTAATAGCAATTGCTACCATTTTAAAAAATGTATTGGCACTATTACAGACGTCCTCCATCCCCCTACCCCCTGACCCACCTTCACCCAGCCCCCCTGGCCTTCACCACACTGTTGTCTGTCTCCATGGCCTATGCATATGTGTTCTTTGGCTAATCTCCACCTTCTTTCATACAACCCCTCTCCCCCATTTCCTTTACCTCTAAACTCTGTCAGTCTGTTCCACGTATCCATGCCCCTGGTTCCATTTTGTTCGTTAGGTTATTTTGTTCATTAGATTCCACATATAAGTGAGATCATATGGTACTTATCTTTCTCTGTCTGGTTTATTTCACTGAACATAATAATCTCCAGGTCCATCCATGCTGTTGCAAAAGGTAAGAAAGAGTTCCTTCTTTTTTATAGCCACATAGTAATCCACTGTGTAAATGTACCACAGTATTTTTACCCACTTCTCTACTGATGGGCACTTGGACTGGTTTCAAATATTGGCTATTGTAAATAACACTGCTATGAACATAGGGGTGTGTATATTCTTTCTGATTGGTGTTTCAGGATTCTTAGGATATATTCCCAGGAGTGGGATCTCTGGGTCAAAGATACCATTTTTTGAAGACCTACTTTGTGATAAACTATAAGCTTAGTATAAAATCTCCAATCCTCACAATATCCTTCTAAGGAGATTTTTACTCTAATTTTATAGTTAAAGAAGCTAAGCTTCTGTCAGGCTAGGTAACGTGACCAAAAGTTTGATAAGAGATAAGGCCCAAAATTGGGTTCATGCCTTTTTGACTCTTCTCACTGAACAACTACTAGTTTAGTTAAAACTATTGGTTTAAGAACTATTGGAATGCATTGATAATGTGAGTGTGGTACAAATAAGGGGTAGTGAGCTGTATCAGTTATTAATACTCCAGACAAAGAAATACATATAGAGAACTTTGAAAAAAATAGCAGAAGCCCTCGCCAGCTTGGCTCAGTGGATAGAGCTTTGGCCTGTGGGCTGAAGTATCCCAGGTTCAATTCCGGTCAAGGGCACATGCCCTGGTTGTGGGCTCAATCCCCAGTAGGGGGCGTGCAGGAGGCAGCCAATCAATGATTCTCTCTCATCATTGATGTTTCTCTCTCTCTCTCTCTCTCTCTCTCTCTCTCTCTCTCTCTCTCTCTCTCCCTTTCCCTTCCTCTCTGAAATGAATAAAACTATATTTTAAAAAAATAACAGAAAACTGGGCTACTTTATCACCTTATTCTTTAGCACTGACTTTTAATGGCTCCAAATGTTTAACACCTTTGTTTAATTGTTTACCAGCTCCTACTTCAACTATGAGTACCTGTACCAACCAATAGCTTTCCCAGGATATAATTGGATGCTGACTTGCTAAACTTCAGGTATGTGAATATTGTAGGTTTTGTGTATAGTGACTACTCCTTTCTAATCCCAGTAGAAAAATACTTGTCCTGATCCAGATTAAATGTAAGGTTTTTTTTGTTTTTTGTGGGGTTTTTTAATATATTTTATTGATTTTTTTTTACAGAGAGAAAGGGAGAGAGATAGAGAGTTAGAAACATCGATGAGAGAGAAACATCGATCAGCTGCCTCCTGCACAGCCCCGACCGGGGATGTGCCCGTAACCCAGGTACATGCCCTTGACCGGGATCGAACCTGGGACCCTTCAGTCCGCAGGCCGACGCTCTATCCACTGAGCCAAACCGGTTTCGGCTAAATGTAAGTTTTTAAATGGTTCCGTTTATACCAGGGTAGCACAGAGAAAATTATCTCGTTCACACCCCTGAGTATCAGTTATTGCTGGTCTCTGGCCTGCCACCAGGGTCTTTTTAATGTGATGTAGATGTTTGAGAACTTAATCTGGGCATTGCACATTTCGGGAATGAGCTTTTCTACTTTCTACCTTATATAAGGTCACTTTAGATGATTAACCGGAATAATTACTTATAAATTGGCAGTTGCTGCCATGTTAACTTCAGGTTACTAATAAGAGCTGATTAGTTGCAATTGTCTAAACTTCATGCTCATGTGTCCCTGGCAGCAAGAGGGGAGTCTGATTATAATATTAGCATTCCTTGCTTGAGCATTTTTTTGAACATCTGTAGGACATTTTACAACACATTTGTGTTCTTTAACATTTAATGAACAGCTTTAAAACATTTTAGAACACATTGTGTGGTCTTGGGCCTGTTACTGTAGTGAAAAACTTAGAATACTTTATCATAAAAAAAAGAGATTTCTGTCTATGAACTAGATAGTTCCTAAAAGAGAACATTGATTCACTAAAAAATGAAGTAAATATACATATGGAGTCTCTTGTGTGCCATGCACTATTTTAGGTGGTAGGAACATAACAATAAGTAGAAACATGCACAGACTCTGTTTCTGTGGCACTTAAAGTCTACTAAAGGAGGTAGACATAAAACAAATAGCCACTCTAACGCATAGTATAATTATAAAATGAGAAAAGTGGCCAAACCTAAGGAACATGATTATATTTGAGAAAGAATTGTGGCCTGGCTGTAGGGTTAGAGAAACCTTACCTGATAGAAGCAACTCCTGGACTATGTGATTTAGAGGATGAGTAGGCGTTAGTATATAGGGAGTGGTGGGTGGGTAGAGAAGAGAACATTTCAAAGTTAACTGCATGTGCAAAGTCCATGTAGCACAAAGGGACTGGGACATTCAAGAATGCCAATGTGTGGCTGGTATAAAAGGAACTAAGAGTAGGTTGGTGGAATGCCATCATTTTTTGTTTCATTATCTCTCTTAATATGCTACCAAAATTATATTTAACACTTGTTAAGGGATTACTTTGTTCCAAATGTGATTGTAAGGACTTTACTTGAATCATCTCAAGGTCCTATTAGGTGGGTACTATTATACAGATGATGAAAGTGATACCTAAAATATGTTACTGGTTCAAAGTTGATAAGGGACACTGTACTATACCCTTCGTCCTATCCTATACTCAAGTATGGCCACAGGCAGGAAAGGCCCCTTCTGTCTAGTGTATCTCCTTGACGTAACCCTGAGAATTTCTGAAATTTCTGGAGAAGTTGAATGCAGGTGAATATTCAGCAGAGACTCTGTGAGCTCCATGCTCTTAATCAGTAGGTAAGCTCAAGGGTGGACCACTGGAAAGGACCCCGGGGCACCACTGCAGCTGTATTACTCAGGTCTGATATTGAATATAGGACAGCAACATGAATATTTTGCACTGACCACCTTTGAAAGTAAAGAGGTTACTGTTAGTGAGGAAACACTCCCCCCACCGCTGCCGCCCTCTTATTGCTTGCATTTTTCTCTGATGGTAGTTTAAGAAAAGTATGTGTTATTTATTTGGCCATTTAATAAGTCTAGGTTTGCCAATGTATCCTTTCAATTAGAATTCTTCCTACTGATTGTCACACTGAACCTTTCTTCCTTCTTTCCAGAGATCTGGTTGGAGTTGGAGGGTGAAAGAAAATGAGTTCTTTTTCTGATTTGCCTGCCAAGAACTTAACCATTGCAGTCAATATGACCACGACTTTGTCCTCAACAGTAATGCATGGATTTAATTCCACTAATGACTCATCTTCGATGTCAATAACAAGGCTTTTTCCAGCCTTACTAGAATGCTTTGGTATAGTCTTTTGTGGTTATATAGCAGGAAGGACCAATGTCATAACATCAACACAGGCCAAAGGACTGGGAAATTTTGTCTCCAGATTTGCACTTCCAGCTTTATTATTCAAAAACATGGTGGTACTTAATTTTTCCAATGTGGATTGGTCTTTCCTATATAGCATCTTAATTGCCAAAGCTTCTGTATTTTTCACTGTATGTGTATTAACCTTATTAGTTGCCAGTCCTAATAGTCGATTTAGCAAAGCTGGACTGTTCCCTATTTTTGCTACACAAAGTAATGACTTTGCACTGGGATACCCTATAGGTAAGTTATTTTATATTTTTCAAGTTTCTAAAAAATTCAAGTGTTTTAGAAGGTACCAGGATATAAGCATTTTAATTTATCTAAGCATTTGTTAGTGATACAGTACTCTTATATCTAAGAAATATTTTGTACTTTTTTCTTAGCTATATCTTAAATTAGGATGAGTTATATTTTTTCTTAACTTTAGAATTTGAGTTCTTGAAAGGTCTACCTAAAACAAATGGTCAAATCCAAATAAACTTTGTGAATTTTCTTTCTAATAGTATTCTTTTTCTTCTCAATAATCATATATGAAAGAAGTATAATTTCCAGAAGAGATCAGATTCTGATTTAAATTATGTAAAAGAGATAGGTATATGTCTGTATAAAAAGTCATTACTAAATGTTAGCAGTGGAATTTTATGAGTGACTTTTTTCATTCCTTATTTTTCTTACCATCTAGAATATATATTACTAGAGGCCTGGTGCACGAAATTCGTGCACGGGTAGGGTCCCTAAGCCTGGTCGGCAATCAGGGCTGATCTGGAGGGCCGCCACTGACACCCACCTTGGTTGGTGGCCTGGCGCTGCCCACTCACCAGCTCCACGCCCCCGCCATCAGTCGGGGCCTGTGGGCTGGGGGCAGCTCCTATATTGAGTGTCTACCCCTTGGTGGTCAGTGTGAGTCATAGCGACTGGTCATTCTGCCATTTGGTCAATTTGCATATTAGGGTTTTATTATAAAGGATTTTACATTAAAGCTCATTTTTTAGTTGTTTTTCAAAATGTCAATGTACAGTGGGGCCTTGACTTACGAGTTTAATTCATTCCGTGACGGAGCTTGTAACTCAAATTACTCGTATGTCAAATGACTGTGATGTTCACTGCGCCAACTAGCGGTGGGATATCTGAAGCTGGCTCATAACCCAAATTTTAACTCACAACTCAACTCAAAGCAAAAAATCGGCCGAGAGATGGCTCGTATCTCAAAAAACTTGTTAGTTGGGACACTCGTAAGTCAAGGCCCCACTGTACTTTAGTTAAAGTTAATTTTTTGTTTAAGAACAAAAGCAGTGAGGGCTTTTTCACCTTTCCAACTTTTCCTTCTTCATCATTCCAACGCTTTAAGCAATCTAATTTTATGTTTCTTTGTGTGTATGTTTTCCTAATGGAACATACCAGTTTGGGATATTGAGATATCTTGAAACATCATTTTTTTCCAGAACACTCTGCCACTAAGAAAATGAACATTTTGCCCTAGCTGTTTTGGCTCAGTGGATAGAGTGTCAGCCTATGGACTGAAGGGTCCCAGGTTCGATTCCGGTCAAGGGCACATGCTCGGGTTGTGGGCTCGATCCCCAGTAGAGGGCATGCAGGAGGCAGCCAATCAATGATTCTCTCATCATTGGTGTTTCTATCTCTCTCTCCCTTCCCCTTCCTCTCTGAAATCAATAAAAATATATTTAAAATAAAGTGTAAAACTGCCATTTAAAAAAAAAAAAGAAAATGTACATTTAGTAACTACTTGCTTATATTTTTATTTTTAAATTAAAGTTTATGTTGTGCTTTGATCATGTATTATAAAGTGAGGACCTGAATATTACAGATCTAGTCATTCATTCATTTGTTCATTGATAGGGACCTGTTATGTACCAGTGACTCTGCTAGCTGCTGGAATACACCTGTGAACAACATTCTTGTACATTTTAGTGGAAAAATTAAATTAAAATTAAAATAATGACAAGGGCCATAAAAATAAGTAAAATAGTATTATAGAGGGATAGGAATGAGAAGGTGCTACTTGAGGTTGAGGATCAGTAAAGGCCTCTCTGATGATGTAGCTTCTGAACAGAGACTATAAAAAACTTAACAAAATGGACAATTGAAATCTACCATTAACTTTCAGATTTCTTATCGTGTGGTTTTAACCCGCCCCCACCCCTCAGATTATCTCATTACTGGCACCAAGAGGATTTTGGTGGACTCTACTTTTCATCTTTCTCCTCCTTTGACCCTCCTCCATCTCTTTTACTAGAAACAGAGGTATACCTTAAAATTAAATAACCATGAGTAAAGCAGCAGGTTTATGAGAGAGAAAAAAACTAGGCTCTTATATAACTGAGCTGTAAATAGTCAGAAACTAGATAGGTGTTCCTTTAAGGTTATTGAAATTTAAAATTAAGAATGAACCAAGCATTAAAATAAAGACTTTGGAAATAAAAGCAAGAAGTTAATGTGTTTATCTATCTCTTCAGAGTTGCATTAATAATGTAAATTTGTCAAGGTATTTATGGTATAAGGGCCTGGGCAGTGGCTCAGTACAATAGTGTTAAATATTTAATAAATGTTGCAGTATCTTAATTTAGACACAAACTGTAAGTATATAGTTTCATGTTCTTGTAGATTAGTGAGCCCATAACTAAATAGAACTAACATTTGTAACTCTATAGTTGACAGAGTTCTTTCTTATTTACTTACCTCATTTGAGGTGGGGCAGATATCATTATCCTCATTTTTAAGTAAGGAGACAGGCTTACAGAGATTTATTTGCCTTGTCCCAGGTCAGATAGCTTACAGGTGCCTGAGACCCACACCTAGGTCTTTGGTTCTAAACCCTGGACATTCTCTATGCCACACAGTTGTATAACATGCCCATTTAACCTTCAGAAGACTCAACTAGCCCTTGTAATACTTTACTTTCACAGGGAATCAACATTTTATTATCTTTGCATTAATCTAAAAATATTTCACAAAATGAATAGTAGTGGAAAAGACCTATTAAATTAAGTCTGTTTCTTTTCATATCGAGGCAGACTCTCCAACTGAAAACTGTAGTCAACCATATTCATCACTACTTTTCCTATGTCCCACATTAAATCAGTGAATCTGGTAATAATCATGTTCCCAGCAGCGTGAGAACTCAATTTCCCCAATGATTATGGTTATAGATTTTGAGTTGTAGTACTTGTGTGTTTTTTCAGCATTTTAAATCACAAATAGCATAAGAGCTTCTGTAATATTAGATGGTAAACAATACCTTTACCAGAATCCAAGAGTATAGTCAGGAGTGCTTTTTCATATATCTGCAGATTGGAAGGTGTGGTACAGAACTGCAGGCTGTGTGTCTGCTCCAGTGAGGTGATTTACTGTTGCTGTCCATGCCCATCTGCCTTCTGGCCTGGTTCATTGTGAACAGAAAAGATTGTGTCTCTAGAGCAGTGGTTCTCAACCTTCAGGCCCTTTAAATACAGTTCCTCGTGTTGTGACCCAACCATAAAATTATTTTCGTTGCTACTTCATAATTGTAATGTTGCTACTGTTATGAATCGTCATGTAAATATCTGATATGCAGGATGGTCTCAGGTAACCCCTGTCAAAGTGTCGTTCGACCGCCCAAGGGGTCGCGACCCACAGGTTGAGAACTGCTGCTCTAGAGAGAAGACCTTTTCAGTTTATGTGGCCTCTCCCAGGAATTTCCACTCTCTTGTTCACAGATAAACATCACAGCTTATAAGACATACCCTTTTTAAGACTGCATTTGTTTCATAACATCAATCCAGTTTACAGGTGACTCGGGAGAAGGCAGATAATGAATAAAAGTAAAGGACAGTCATTTTTTCCTTTTTCTCTATACTATGACAGTTATAACGGTCTATGAAACTAAATCAAAAATGAATTATCTATATTCAGGGACAGAAAACTACACACTGAAGCTGTCCGTTTCTTAAGAACAATTCCTTTTCTTTTTTTTCCAACTGATTTTAGAGAGAGGAAGGGAGAGAAACATCAGTGTAAGCGACAAACATGGATCAGCCTCCTACACATGAACCCACAATCTGGGTTGCCCTGACCGGGAATTGGACCCACCACCTTTTGGTGTACGGGACAATGCTCCAACCAATCAAGCCAGACTGGCCAGGGCTTAAAAACAATTCTTCTCAAAGGTACTTAAAGAAATATGAGTGTGCCCTGCCTGGCTTGGCTCAGTGGATACAGCGTCAGCCTGCGGACTGAAGGGTCCCGGGTTCGATTCCAGCCAAGGGCACATACCTGGGTTGCAGGCTCAATCCCCAGTAGGGGGTGTGCAGGAGGCAGCCGATCAATGATTCTCTCATCATTAATGTTTCTATCTCTCTCTCCTCCCTTCCTCTCTGAAATCAATAAAGAAATATATATTTTAAAAATGTGAAAACTCCATTTAAAAAAAAAAGAAATGTGAGTGTGAGAGGAAACCAAGGTGAAATGTTGATTGCAGCACATCAGAATGGTTTCTTGCCTTGGTCATTAAAAGATACTAATAGGGCATAGTTAAATCCTGTAATTTATTCCTTTAACAATGCTGATAGATAAGTATCCTGGCTAATCATAATTATGCTCTAGTGTTTGAGCTGTAAACAAAAAGAAAATGAAGCGTTTAACTATATGCCATTAAACAATAGAATGATCTTATCTGGGTCTTTGTGGTATTTGCTAGGGCTTGAAGATCTGCCAGAATTAAAATAGGAGCCACAGTGGGTGGTTAAATTTATCTCTTAGTTCTTCAAAGCTATGTAATAATTCCTCATAATGGGTTTCTCCTCACCCCCAAGAGCCTTATTTCTAATTAATAATTAGAGCTTAATAGTTGATATAATGATTATAAATCTAATTTGTTAGTAAGGGTCGCTGCTTTCATATATTTTTTTTTCAGATTTGAAAAATCATCTTCAGGTTGGTAGCAAAAGAATTGCACTAATTTATAAAGACATAATGTTAAGTAATTATGCAAATGAATGGCAGAAGTGGACTGAAATTTCCCATGTTTAACCATAATCTTTTAGTAATTTAGCAAGTATTTATTTATTCCCGAATTTTTCCTGTCCCGCTAGACCAGTGATGGTGAACCTTTTGAGCCTGGCGTGTCAGCATTTGGAAAAACCCTAACTTATCTCTGGTGCCGTGTCACATATAGAAATTTTTTGATATTTGCAACCATAGTAAAAGAAAGACTTATATTTTTGATATTTATTTTATATATTTAAATGCCATTTAACTAAGAAAAATCAACCAAAAAAATGAGTTCACGTGTCACCTCTGACGTGTGTGTCATAGGTTCGCCATCACTGCGCTAGACTATACTTTTGCCTTCAAATACCTGTCCAACTAACTGGAAATACCCCAATAATAACCTGTTTTATAAATATTCAGAATATGAAAAGGGAAGAAAATTTGGATATAAAAAGAAAACGGGTTAATGAACAACAATTAGATATAAATTATTGTGTGTTAAAAAGGTACATCCCTACTCTGAAACCTTTGACATCCATTGATGTGTTAATTCCACTCAGCAGCTATTTTCAGGTTTTCTCAGTACTGTGCTGGGACCTGGGGGCTATAGGAACATAGAATGAGTTGAGGTGGCACTAATATGACACAGTTACCAGAGTCACCCAGAAAAGAGGATATCCATGAGACAGATTGCAGACTTGGTGGAAGAAGCAGCACCTGAGACAGGCCTGACACAGTAGACAAGAGTTAGATGAAAAACAAGAGATTTCAAGACGTTGGGGGATGACGGTCAGCATGTAGGACTAGTCATAAACCTGGCATTTGTCTGGTGTAACTATGATATTAAACTGGCTGATGGAGGCTTTGCACTAAGGAATAGCTAAGCATTCCCAGGGAGATGAGCTGATAAATAAGGGGCCAGTTGAGGAGACTGGACTGTGAATGTCAAAAGAAAGGTTTTATAGCTATTCTTCTGGGCAGTGAGAGTTGTGGGAAAATCTTATTTTTTGAAAGTCAAGATTTAGATCAGTGGTTCTCAACCTCCTGGCCCTTTAAACACAGTTCCTCATGTTGTGACCCAACCATAAAATTATTTTCGTTGCTACTTCGTAACTGTAATGTTGCTACTGTTATGAATCGTCATGTAAATATCTGATACGCAGGATGGTCTTAGGCGACCCCTGTGAAAGGGTCATTTGACCGCCAAAGGGGTCTTGACCCACAGGTTGAGAACCGCTGATTTAGATGATATTGTCAGCAGTGAATAAAATGGATGAAGGGGTGGCCAAGAAAAATCAAAAGGATATTGGTTGGAAACACATTAAGTAACCCAGTTTTGAAATTTTTGACCAATGGTATCAAAATCTGAAAAAGAAGAAAGTACTTGGTGATTGGCTAGCCATAAATAATAGACGGTTGCTCAAATTTGTATTGCTCTTTAAGACAATTTAAAGTCTATTATATGTTGGTGATTAAATGCTAGTGTGCCAGGAAAGTAAATTCTGGAAAAAGGCATTAACTTAAGGGACTTTGTGAGCTGTAAGTTGTCAAAGTTTATGTATTTTATCTTGGCCATTTGGGAAAATTCTTGTGTTCAGATTGAAAACACAAGGCTTTTCCAAAATATATTTTCCATTTTTAAAATTGAGTGGTGGTCAGGTATGGACGCCTTTCTCTTAGAATATCTTCAGTCTGCAGGCCGACGCTCTATCCACTGAGCCAAACCAGTTAGGGCTTTCTCTTAGAATATCTAATTAGAAAAAGTTAGCCCTAACCGGTTTGGCTCAGTGGATAGAGCGTCGGCCTGCGGACTGAACCGGTCAAGGGCATGTACCTTGGTTGCGGGCACATCCCCAGTAGTTGTGCAGGAGGCAGCTGATCGTTGTTTCTCTCTCATCGATGTTTATAACTCTCTATCCCTCTCCCTTCCTCTCTGTAAAAAAATCAATCAAATATATTTTTTAAAAAAAGAAAAAGTTAGCTACCTATAAATAGTTATTAAAAGTGCTGCTTTTTTTTCTAATCCTCACCTGAGGATGGTTTTTTAAAAGTTGATTTTAGAGGGAGGGGAGGGGAGGATAGGAGAGGGAAGAAAAAGGGGGAGGGGGAGAGAGAGAGAGAGAGAGAGAGAGAGAGAGAGAGAGAGAGAGATATGGATGAGAGAGAAACATCATTTGTTGCTTCCCGTATGCACCCCGACTGGGCACTGAACACACAACCTAGATATGTGCCCTGACTGGGATTGTCCCTGAAACTTTTTGGTGAACCATATAACACTCCTACCAACTGAGCCACCCTGCCGGGAGCAAGTGCTGTAATTCTTCCTTAAAAGATAAAACCTTATGAAACATGAAAGAAAACCACTAAGAACTGTCGAGCTAGTCCATCTGGTTTGAAAATTGGAAAGAATTTGTGAAATTTTATGTAATCAAATGTGTTTTGTTTAACCACTGCTTCATTTCAGAGATATTATAGACCTCTGTATGTGCTTAACTAAAGGAAGGGAATTGAATCTTATAAAACGTCGTCTTTAGCTAATGAGAACAGGTGAACGTCTACAGGTTATATAAACTAGTTGCATAACTTTAATGGAACATGTGCATGACATTAACTGAACCTAAGCATCCTGAGTAAGTAAACTAATATATTTTCCTGCCAGTGTCACTTTATCTTAATGTAAATTGAGAAAGCTAATCTTTTACATTTTTTCACATGATTGCCTTTCTCCTGGTGAGTGATTGTGGCTGTTCTTTTATCTTTCTTAACCTCAAATCATTTAGGCATCAGCCTTTATATAATAGTTTGAATAATTTCAGAACTCATTGCCAAAAATGTGCCTAGAGACCAGGTTGCTTACTTCAAGGCTCTAAGTTGCCCTGATCAACCCATGACCAGGTCACCAACCCCCACTTCTGCCAAGAAACTGCGAAAAGTCTGATCCAACCCACGTACCACTTCCAAGGAGACTTACCTTATGCAGTGGTTATGTTCATGTACAGTCAAACCCTTGAAAAATCCCTTAAATCACCTACGAAATATAGCACACATATTTTGTATATATTGTACCATTTCTCCTAAGTCTAACAGCCTGATTTTTTTTTTCTCTAGCATTGTTGTTCTTCAGTGAACAGCAAGTGAAGTAATTCATTTGCATTTGGGGACCTGCTTTGTGAAAAAAAAACCAAAAGACTTTTGTCTTCCTTAGAGAGTAGTTGAATTTCTGTTAAATGTGCATTACATGACTCCACTGTATACCCCTCCCAAACATTTCTTATCCACCTTTCCATCCCTAATTCTTCAGCATCTTCACTGGTCTTCCCTAAAGCCATGCATTCCCTTTCATTCCTCTCAAATGGAGGCTGCCCATTTTGTCATCGCCTGTATATTACATGAGCAACGGTAGATAGGGCTGACATCCTCATAGCCACCTTCTACCACTGTGTGAGGCCATTATTATTTGCTCTTTTGTAAAAATTGCCTCTTTGAGGTTCATGCTCAGCCTCATTGCTATCATCTGCTGATCTCATTCTGGTCATTCCTTCTCATTCATTGAAGACTTGAGTATCTGGCTGTTATCTTCTCTGCCCCCACGTTTTGCCATTATCTTGTTTGACTTGGCATCCATGTGAACTACCCATCAATTTCTCTGTCCCCTTGACCTCCTCATCTCCAGTGATGTTTTTCTCTACTCCATTTCAGCCACTAACTAACATGGCCACCCTAGGTTATCCTGGACTTACTCATCTGGGAAATATTAAATTCAATAGCTCATTCTCTGACTTACTCTGAACTCCAAAACTTCCCACTGCATCTAATTCTTAGACTTTGTAGAGACTCCAGTCTCTTTTCTGTAGCATAGCTTGGACTTAGTCACATCAGTGTTCATTTTTGAATTTGTTGTCTGCCTCTTGCTCCTCAATCCTCTGTATCCTGACTTCTACCTCACCACTCCAGTGGAACTTCTCTCTCAAGGGAACCAACAGCCAACTACCTTGTTGCTATTATTACTTAAACATCCTGTTATAACCATTTTACTTTAATTGTTTCTTTTAAGAATTCAACAATTCTTCCATTTTATTGTGACTAGTCTAAGCCTCTACTTAGTAGAATTTAGTGGGTATTACTAAAAATAATTTGTAAAAGTTGATTATTATTTTATAAGCTAAATGTTATTTAACAGTATGTTTTTCCTTTTTTCAAGTTTCCTGATAAAATCTTTTTACAAAACAAGGCTAATGTGGTTGTTCTGCATTATTTAGATTTAATTTATAATATGCTATAATTACAGATAATGTTATACACATAACTTATTAATATGTTTCTGTGGCAATCATTTTAAAATCTATTTTAATTCTTGTTTTGCAGTTGAAGCTTTATATCAAAGTACATATCCAGAATATCTCCAGTACATTTATTTGGTGGCACCAATATCTCTTATGATGCTAAACCCTATAGGGTTCATCTTCTGTGAAATCCAGAAGTGGAAAGACAGTCAAAATGCTTCTCAAAGCAAAGTAAAAATTGTGGGACTTGGACTTCTGCGAGTAATACAGAACCCAATAGTATTTATGGTCTTCGTTGGCATTGCCTTTAATTTTATTCTTGATCAAAAGGTGCCTGAATATATGGAAAATTTTCTTGATGGACTTGCAAATTCTTTTTCTGGATCAGCTCTATTTTATCTTGGTCTTACAATGGTAGGAAAAATAAGGAACCTGAAGAAGTCAGCATTTGTTGTACTAACTCTTCTCATTACTGCTAAACTGTAAGTTGATGATTATATTTTGTGAAAATCTGATTTATTCAGTTCATTGGGATGTGTCTGCAACTATTTTCTCCTTCAAACAGTTTGATAATAATAATTTCTCCTCGTGAATAATTGTGACTTAAAGGAAAATGTGATGTTGGTGTATTGTGCAAAGTCCTTTCCTTATTCCATGTAGGTTATCCTTTCCATTTTACTGTTAGAGGATAAAGACTATTGGTTTTTCTTCAGCTTTTATATAATTTTATTTAATATCTCCTAATGTCCCACTTTGGTAATATTTTTAAGTAATTTTGCAGGATTTCTGAGTTTTCTAAATCTGTTAAAATCCATTAAAATCTTAGTTGTGATGAGAACAATAATTTTGAATATAAACTGTTTTTATCATCAATTTGGGGAAAATATTCTGTAATTCTGAGGGTGGTTGAAATTTCTAAATATAAGTAAGTCAATATGTATGATTAGTATCAACGATCTGACCCTAGCCTGTCAAATAAAAAGTTATCAAACCCTTAGTTAATAGTTCTACAACTTACTTAGCTCCTTAGCCATGGCGTTATACTTCATGGTGCAGATGACATTGATTTTACTGCAAGATTGTCCCAAGGTGCTTGGGGCATTCTTAACTATTGAATTCAGCTCTTGTATTGACAGTTAAATTTATGAGACCAATGGAATATAAAATAGTTTCTATATTTTTAATAGAATACAAATTTTTAATAGAATACAATAGAATAAATTCTGAATATTATTTATGGTAGTATTATGCTCTTCAAAAATGAAGTATTAATTAGTATTGGTACAGTACTAAATATGGTTCTAACAGTATAGTATTATTAACTTATAAGTAGAATTTAAATATTCTCATTCTCTCTTTTTTCTGTGTCTTTGATCCCTATTTAATATTTTCATCTATTTTTTTTTAAATACACAGAAGAGTAGTTCTTTACTCCATCCTAGTGCATCTCACTAGGTCAGCAGTTCTCAACCTGTGGGTCGCCAACCTGTGGGTCGCGACCCCTTTGGGGGTCGAACGACCCTTTCACAGGGGTCGCCTAAGACCATCGGAAAACACATATTAAATATCTAATTACATATTGTTTTTGTGATTAATCACTATGCTTTAATTACGTTCAATTTGTAACAATGAAAATACATCCTGCATATCAGATATTTACATTATGATTCATAACAGTAGCAAAATTACAGTTATGAAGTAGCAACGAAAGTAATTTTATGGTTGGGGTCACCACAACATGAGGAACTGTATTAAAGGGCCGCGGCATTAGGAAGGTTGAGAACCACTGATCTACGTACTGCTGTTACAGTATCATCAACCTTGTTCTTTTTAAGGGAAAGCTCTATTAGCTCAGCTACTACTGATAGTGCTTTTTTAATGGAATCCTAAAGGATCTGTTTAATAATTGATTCCACCGGGTCTGGATTTCACTAATTTTCTGCTCTATTTCCACTTGTTTCAGTTCCTTTGCTACACCTTTTTGTCTCTCCAAAGATGAAGAACTCATTGTAAGATACCTATTTTTCTACTGGTTTTGAGAACCTAATTGAGCATCATTGTTATCATTACCTGAACCATCTAAACCCTTAATCATTATAAAGATCAGCTTTGTTTTTCAAAAAGGAGTTTAGTAATTTTCTTTTTAAGAGTTTGCTCAGATTGTCAATATTTTTAACATTTCCTTGAACTAACAGAGGAAACAAGAAACAGCAGCTATTACAACTTTTACAAACTTTTTGCAAGAAAATTACTGTAGAGCAAAAAAAGTCTGATTTTCTTCTCCCCAATATTTCAAGTTGAGTTCTTGATTCTTCCAACAAAATGTCCACAGAAGGCATGCAGAGAACATGTGCATGCATGTATTCTGGGAAGGAGAAGAATAACCTAACGCCAACCTTACTAGAACAATTTACCACCTGGGGACCAGCATGCTTGGATATCAAGTGATGATGCATTTCTTGTTTCTTCAGCCTGGTGCTGCCACTTCTGTGCAGAGAAATGGTGGAAGTCTTGGACAAGGGCGACAATGTAGTAAACCATACAAGTTTATCGAATTATGCATTTTTGTATGGTGTCTTTCCTGTAGCACCAGGAGTGGCTATCTTTGCAACACAGTTCAACATGGAAGTAGAGACTGTATGTATATACTACTTTCTAAGTTTGATTGTTTGTGTGGTTAGTAGAAAATGAATTTTCAAGACACAGAAGTCAGCATTTTTATGAGAATTTGATATGTATAAGTTATTTCATGGTATATAAGAGGGCATCATGTAACAGTAGTTATTTAATCTGGGGTAATTATTCAGCCAGGACGTTTTCCATTGGTCTTTTTTAGTTTCAAATATTTAATTGCTTTACGTATACTTAAGCCTAAAGGTTATTTATGGAAGGATAACTTTTGAAATTTTGAGGGAAAAATTCTATTTCATTCATTGATAATTCAACTACCAGATGCAAAACATCACATAATCAACTGCAGTAAATAACTAAAATCAATTAACACCAAATTGTTAACAGTGTCTAAGTGTATTGTAATTGTTATCTACAGCATTAGAGTAAATGTTTTTGTTTTTTTATCCTCACCAAGTATGTTTTTATTTTGATTTTAGAAAGAGAGGAAGGGGGGGGGCGGAGAGAAACATTGATAGGAGAGAGAAACATCAATCAGTTACCTCCCATATATGCCCCAACCTGGGATGGAACCTGCAACCTTTTGGTGTACAAGACGACACTCCAACCACTGACCCACCCAACTAGGGCTAGAGTAAATGTTTTTGAAATATAACATGAAGGTACTAAGTTGTTTAACAAAGATCAGTTTCATTTTTAATCTGTAAAATGTTTGTGTAATAATTTTCTCTTTTTGAATTGTTTTTATTGTATATATTTCATGAAACAGTAGGTAAGGAAACTGGTCATAAGTTTAATTAGATCATTAATATGGTTTACTTCCTAGAACCTAGAAGATAACCATCAGCTGTGGAAAGTCTATTATTTGTTATGTGCAAATATAAGTTGAGCATAGATTGGAAAGGAGCTAAGGGAACTTATCTGTGTTTTCTTTTAAGAACTCTCAGAAAGGGGGAATATGGTATTAGATTGCATGTTGAATTCTGTGATGTCTTTTTACTGACTCTTGCTTCTATTTTAGAATGCCTTCGTGTGCTGTGGCTATTTAAAGTTTAAGGTAATTGCTTAAGTGTGACTGTGACCCTTTCCTCAATTTGGTTTTTTATTTTTGCAGATAACCTCAGGGATGGTAATAAGCACATTCGTGTCTGCACCAATCATGTACATTTCTGCCTGGTTGTTGACCTTTCCCTCAATGGACCCTAAGCCATTGGCATATGCCATCCAGAATGTTAGTTTTGATATAAGTATTATCAGCCTGGTTTCCTTGGTAAGTATGGTTCAATGAAAGATGAACCACAGAATGAGTGCAAATAGCTTGGTAAGAGAAAGTTAGGGATTTAAAAATCGAATTTCGTAGGCAATAGAGAGCACTAAAGCCTACCCATAAAATGTAATATCAGCCTTCTAAGATTTGTCTTTCTAACTGGAGTTAGAGTTGTATAGCAGACAAGGCTGAGATTTAGTCAGACCTGGATTTGAGTCTTGCCTTATCACAAATAGCTGTACATCTCGGTGGAGTTACCTTAATGCCTCTAAGCTTCAGTTTTTTCAGCTATAAAGTAGACATAATAATTTTACCTATTGCCTTGGGTCAAGGGTCATGAGAGACAATACGTGTGAAAAGCATTCTGTACATAGTGAGTCACTATACATATACCTGCTGTTGTAGAATCATGGGGTTGAGGGATCCTTGGGATCACATCTAACCACCCATTTAATGTTCATGAAACTTTTTGGATATGCTAGCATCTAGCTCAAGTTAAATACTTAAACATTTGACAACTAGAGTATTTTATAAATCCAGTTGCCTACTAAATTCAAGCAGTATTTTGGCTAAAAAAAAAAAGAAGAAGAAGAACTTTTACTGTTAAAAGAAAGGAGGTGGGGATGAATATGTATATTGGCAACAAAAAATGCATAATAAATGTAACTTTCGAAAATTTTACTTTGGTTACATATTCTTAAAATCTATGCCCAATTGGTAAGGGCAGTTTGGGGAGAAAGACAATATAAGTTTTGATTGACAATGAGGGGAGCAAAAAGAAAAATCAACAAGCATACTTGGCTGGCCACTGTGTAGTTGGAATAGAAACCCAATCCTTTTCAATATAAGGAATGCAAGACAATTAACCATAAGGTAGGGAATGTGTATTGTTGAAGTAAGATAGCCTGGAATTTAGATACTGCATGAGTCAACATGATAGAAACTAAAAGGGAGAACTTAGTGCATTGTAGCTGCATCTCCCTCTAAAGCTCTTTTCCTGAATAGTTGCCTGTGAACCTGTGTCCCACCCCAACCACCAAAGGCAGGGGGAGGTAGAACATGGCCCTGGTCAAGGCATTAATTCTTAAAGACCCTGTTATTTTTTGTACAGTTAATTTAGCATAGTACCTTTCCATGCTTTTTATTTTACTTTGGATATAGTAATTTATCTTAATACCTTTTGGGAGCTAGGCAGATGAAAGTAAATAAGAGATTGGAATTTCTTCCTGAATCAGGATAAAGTGGATTCTTTAAAGAGACTAATCAATGAATTCTATAAGTAATTATCAAGATTAAGAAACCTGAATAACTTTTGAACCTTTTGTCTTTAAGATCTGGTCTCTAGCTATTCTTCTTTTGAGTAAAAAATATAAACAGCTTCCTCATATGCTTACAACTAATTTACTCATCGCTCAGGTTAGTAAACCTATAGATATTTAGAACTATGGTTTTCTCATTGAATATTACTTCTCTGTGTTTTTTCACTTATAAAGTAAAAAATGTTTTTTACCAAGTACAATCAATTATAATTTGATTACAATTAATTTATGCCTAATTTATTAAATATTGCAATAGGTCTTGAACTATATAAAGTTAACGTTAATAATAGCATTTGATTATAATTTTGGATTTTTAATAGAAGTAATTGAATCATTAAAAATTGAACTCTCACAGTCTTATTTTTCTAGTTAAGTCTTTGCATGTCTCAAGTTATAATGGAAAGAAGTTTAGCATTTTTTATGTAAACTATTACTAAATATAAGGTTAGTATTTAGAATGTTGTCATCTGTTTTAATTGAATATGTACATCGTTAAAGACTCTGTATAAGAAGGGTTGGGGTTTTTTTTTACCATAAAACTTGAAGTTTAGTATAACAGTATGCAATAGTTGATAATTATTCAGCAATAATTTAAACTGAATAGTTATATTTGCTGTGACTAAAACATGAGTATGACTCATGAATATGACTGACTGCTTCTTTACATATTTTGTTCTTCAGTCTATTGTCTGTGCTGGAATGATAATATGGAATTTTGTTAAAGAAAAAAATTTTGTTGGACAAATTCTGGTGTTTGTTCTATTGTACAGCTCCCTCTATAGCACCTACCTATGGACAGGTAAGTTGGACCATGAATGGAAATTTAAGTCTGTCCCCCTCTCCATCACTAGAAGCCCTCAGCTAATGATCTATTTGAAGTCTCCTAGGACAAGATTAAGGCATTCTCTCAGGCAGTTCCACCTACTCAGGGAGGCAGTCTGCAAAGCTGAGTCCTGTTTCCTGATGCACTCAAATTCTGCCTGGGTTTGGATCGTTTCCTCTCACATGGTCCTTTTCCTTGGGGTCTTTGGCTCTAGGCCACAGTCAGCACAGCTCTCCTTTGGAGACACCGAAAAGACAGGCACTGGAGAAAGTAGGGGATGGGCAGAGAGGTCGGAGGCATGTAAGGTATATCCCAGGCTCCGTATTAGAGTCCAGCTGAACTGAATGAAAATTTCTGGCTCTGCCTTAAGCAAATGACTTCACTTTTGCAGTCTCCATCTCCTCATCTGTAAGACTGGGTCATCGCATCTTACAGAGTTATTTTGAGAATTAAATGAAATATGGGTATTTATGCCTGGTACACGGTAGACACTCAACAAATAGAACTATATTATTAAGTAGAGGGGAAAATAATATGAGAACAAGAAAAGTAAGGAGTAAAAGGGTATAGAAATAGAAGAGTACTTAGTAAGAAAGACTATTTCTCATTTTAACGGGCTCCAAAAAGGATATTCAAAATGGTTTAGCACATTGCTCTTTTGACGTATAATATTTATTTGAATGCATTCTGGTATGCTTGTGAAACATTCTATCTGGTTGTTTTGTATTCATACCACAAATGTGAACCTAGAAAATGGCACATAAAAGGAAATTGTAGAATGGTAGGGCTGGTGATAGCCACTGTTAGGCAGGTGTCAGGAAGTGGCTGTGAGAAACTGGCCTTTGATTTCATGCCTTCAAGATCAAAAGTGGAGCCTAATGTAAGTCAACAACCTTTTGAAGTGAAGCAACAATGTAAAAATTCAGTGCAAAGAGAAGGTTCCAGCTTTTTAAAGGCAAGTGCACCTTGCTTAGCATAAGAGACTTCGTGAGATGTCAAGTTAAAACAGCTTAAGGACTTTATTTCCAAATACAGATAAACCAACTTCATCTCTAATACTTGAGTTTATTGAGGCTAAGTTTATAATAAGAATAGGAAAGCAGGAAATAGGCCAATGTATCAAAAAGCCACAAGTCTCCCTGACACACTCTTCAAACATGCATACCAAAATCTATCCCAAAATGTTGTTCTGCATTCCCTGACCCTGATGAAGGGGCCCTTTAACCTTGAGAATATTTTGATATAATAGATTTTAGACCTAACGTATCATTTTAAATCATCCCGTTCAGCCATCTTTAATTTCTCTCATTCGCATACCATCCTCATGATTTTTGCCACATCTGCATACCACATGCCCTTGTTTTTCCTTAAAGTTGATTCACTTTTTTTACTTTAATAAATTGAGCCTTATAGTAGTAAAATCCCAGGTTTCATGTGATAGCTAAAAATTTTTGAAGCACATGTTAAAATAAACACGTAACTAGTCAAAAAAAATGTGCCACCTCTTGTGTCTACACTTTTGGAAACACTGGTCTGCTTTAAATTTTTCACTTTGCAAATCAGGGAAATAAGGCCCAAAGAGTTTAGCTGATTCGGCTTTGTCAGTGATAGAGCCAGGACTAGATTGCACCTGTTCCTGTATCAGTCTTTTCACAAGGAGGAAATAATGAACATCAGCACTTTAATGACCATCAGTATTGTAACACAGTTGGCACACTTTTGTGATTGGTTACTTGTATCCATGGCCCTTTGAAAACCTGAAACTATAAGCCTTTACAAATGTATTTAGGGAAGAGCAGGGATATCACAGTATCTCTTGACCTTGAATAATGTGTGGTCCCTTTTAAAGAAAAAAAAAATTCTCAAGGACCTTGGTGTTGATTTACATTATTTCTAGCACAGGGTTACTCAATCTGTACAACCTTAAATCTAGGTATGAATTCCTTATATACAGCTAATATACAACTTTAAAACTAAAGCAAATTCACAGATGAGATTCAAACAAAACTATAAATTCAGTAATTCTAACTAGTAACATTTATCAACATGACAAAGGGTCTTGTTTTCCTAATCTGAATCAGAGTTTGAAATGTAAAATGGGGGTGGGGGTGGGGGAGCAGGGGAGGGAAATGTAAAAGGGAACTCACTTCTCTGGTTAGGGGTTTTTTGTTATTTATTTTTTTAGTTTGGCCTGCCTTTATTTCTGTGGTTTTATGATCTGGTTTTCTCATTGCTTCTCTCTCTTCAAACGGCCACAGAACCTTCGTTTGTACCATGTGTTGCGATATCGTGTAGCCTTCATTTGGCTCAAACTGAATATAAAACCAAAAATAATCTCTAAAATCATAAGTCCGAACTTTGGTTATAAAGTGGGCATTTAGGTGATTGTCATTGAAAAGATACCAAAAGGACTTAAAATTTCTCAGATATTTCCAGGTCCTGACAAATGTGTCTTAGGAACCATCAGGGCCCATTGATCTGAGTTTTAGAAACACTGATAGAGGTGGACTTGCCTCCCATCAGGTGGCTGGGTTCCCAGTCCTGCTCTGCCCTCTGCTGGCTGTACGGCTTGGGCAAACCCTTGTTTCTATATCTGTAAAATGAAGGTATAATTTAAAACAGTGGTCCCAACCCTATAGTTCTAAGCTTCTATAGCATGTAGAATTTGTTAAATAAGACATTACTTGTATAAATAATTGGGTATATGGTATAAGGAGAGTTGAAGAACTTTAAAACATTTGTTTCTGTATTAAGTTAATATTATATTTAAAGTCCATTCAATAGACTTGGAGCTTTTTTAAAAAAAAAAAAAAAACCTGCATAAGAATTGCTGGCTCTTTCTTAGCACAAATAGAATGGGAGTGTTTTTATTATTAGAATTGTTCCATAGTCGCTTAAAAAAACAACCCTCCATTTTCCAAATATACTTAGATTCCAAACACGTCAGTCAAAAGAATAAGATGATTTGGGTCTTTTGAAAAAAGCCCTCATGTATAAAACAAGAAGGTTTGAGTAAAGACATGATTTAGGAGGGAAAACTCAAATTATTTTGAATTTAAAAAACCTGCTTCCAAATATTGGGGACAGCACTACTTAGAAGGAGTAAATTCTAGGGCAAAAACTGCAGACTGCTCCTGAAATGAACTTAGTTAAATAAAATTCCATGAAGTCTGAACAACATCAAGAATAATTACGTATCTTTCAACCTTTATTTCTTGTTCTTAGGCCTTCTAGCAATTTCTTTGTTTCTTCTGAAAAAGAAAGAGACAGTACAAATTCCTGTTGGAATCATCATAATATGTGGCTGGGGGTAAGTTGGTAGCTTTCTGTTTATTTACGTATTTCTGTATATACAGTGTTAAACAATAAAATTTGGCGTCCATGGCTGAAAGAAAGGGTTTATTAGGCCATTGCTAGCAAAAGAGAAGACCGTTTTGGGGGCATGGATTTTGAACTAGCAGCTGCATGGCTAGGTAGGAAAGACAACATGTCCATTGTCTCGCAGTTTGCACGTGTTTTTATATATTAGGTAAGGGAAAGGGAGAAGAAAGATGTAAGGTGTTGAAAGAATGTATGTGAGCTATAGGCAAAGGGGTGGGAGAAAACGAAGTGGGCCAGCCTGGGATAGGCGCAGAGTCTACAAAAAGAAACGTCCGCTCCTGTGGGTTGGCTGCGGGCAGCAGTCCAGAAAGACCACGTGCGAACAAAAGGCAGAGACTTCTGGAGTTTGATGGTTTCTGGCTAAAACCTAATCAGTGGAAACACCAGTCAGGCGAGGATCTGCACCTCAGTCCTGAACTAGGCCAGGCAAGAGAGACAGATGATTCCTACCAATCTCTCCAACTGCACAGGTGGCCTTACCTCCGTTAGACTATTTCCTCCAAAATATACATGAACCACATTATCTCTATCTATCTGGCCTTGGTCCCTTTCTATTTGTTAATCCTCACCCAAGGATATTTTTTCCCATTGATTTTTAGAGAGAGGGAGAGGGGGAAAGATAGAGAGGGAGAGAAGGAAGGAGGGAGGGGGAGAGAGATCAACTAGCTGTCTCCCGCTCACAATCCAATCACCACGACTGGGGCCAGGGATCGAACCTGCAACCCTCTGGTGCAAGGTCGAGTAGCCCCCAGGATTCAAACCGAAGTTCCAACAGATGTACAGAATGTGTGCAGTCTTTGTTAGTTGGCGCCCAGCCATTAATTGACTAGCAGTTCTGTCTCTCCATCTGCTGTAACTTAATTTAGAACACCTCAGAATTTTCTTCTTGTTAATAGCTACCATTCATTCTGCCTTTCTCTCTAAACCTTCGTTATTCCAGAATTCCTGCTATCCTTGTTGGTGTTCTTTTGATAACTGGGAAACATAATGGAGATAGCATTGACTCAGCCTTCTTTTATGGAAAAGAACAGGTGAGAAGACTGTATTGAAAGTTCTGTTCTTGAGAACGTCTCTCTTTAGCTTGTTAATGTGTTTTTCTATACTTACATTAAAATTAACTCTGAAAATCTATTCCAACTTACCACATATCACACTGGTGATCCTACATCACTTTGTTAAGTCATGTCTTAAACTATGGTAAAGGTTTTAAGTGCCTAAGTTTTTTTTTTTCCCCTAAGTTTGTTTTTAGGTGAGGATTTCAGATGTTTGAAACTTACTGAGTCTTCTTAAACACACTTATGAATTATGTTTAATTATGTTTCCTCTACTGGAGGAAAGCATGATTAATTTAAAGCCATTTATTGAGTTAGCAATAATAATAAAAGCCAAATTCTTGATTTTCAATCCTGTAGTAAATACAAATTTCAGAACAAAAAGTTTCTGAGAGAAAATGTGCTTGAAAAGCTAGAGAGAAGAGACTTGTGGGACCTGCTGAATCAGAAATTCTCCAGGGGGTAGGGCCCACAGATGTGTGTTTCAGAAACCTCCTCAAATAATTTGGATTTCTCACTTTTTTGTTTTGTTTTGTAATTTTGAATTTTATTGGGTTATTGTCAGAATAAATAAAATTATACACATAAAGGATTTAGACTAGTATTGCCATATAGTTAATACTCAGTAAATATTAGCTGTAATTATTTATTTTTGTTATTATCACTATAACAGAGTCTCTAGTTGAAGTATGCTTAAACTATGTATTAAAGCAAGCAAAATCTTTGAAGAGAAGGGCTGCAAACAATTATTTTAATTATTTGTGGAAGAAACCAATGGCATGATGCACAGTGAAAGAAGTATCTAGAAATTTTATATGATTACAAGCAAACTCTGATTTTTCTACAAGTAACTTACATCTCTTCCACACTCTTCTTTTTTTAAGAACCATTGTAATAGAGCATTTGTAGCTATGGACCTATTGCATTTTCCACCAAAAAAGTACCCTTAACCTATTCAACTAAGATTATAAAGATAGAATTATGAAAAGTGGCTTAATGTCTTTTTGGCAGATGATCACCACATCGGCCACCCTGTTCGGCAGCATTGTGATAGCCAGCATATCACTCATGTGTATGAACCGCACCACCCAAGGAAGCTACGAAGGTTTCAACCAGTCTCAGAGCCACAGGGCAGCAGAGCCTGGGAACACTGCTTTTGAGGAGAGTCCAGTGCCAATAAATGAACCCGAACCTTTTGCAAGTTCTATCCCAGAAACAAGTATGACCCTTAAATATAAGGAAACTCTTATATGCCTGTATAGCATGTGTCCTGAATGTGTTGTTTAAGGGCACTTCCTTGAGCTACCTTGAATATCACAGGTATTTGTCAGATAAGGAACTTGAATGATAGTCGATAATAGAAAGAGCTTGCAAGTTCATTAGATTCTTGTTTATAAATCTTTTGTGAGGACAGTCTTTTGTTAAATCCTAAAACTTCCTTGGACCTGAAAGTTTTAAAGAAAAGTAACAACTTAAGGAAGACCCTTTTTAGAAAACTTAGCATCTAGATTTGTTAATTTAAAGGAGACCTGACTGACACAGGGTTAATAGCATGTCAGGAGTTGGCAATATGGAATCAAAAGTTCAATTAGTAAAAGAGAAGGCTAGTGGTCTACTTATATATCCAAGTTATGTTTGAAGGCAAAGACTGCGATAGTAATGTTCTTGGTGGCCATAATCTGTGTGTGTGTGTGTGTGTGTGTGTGTGTGACTTCTGTGACTAAATAGAGGAAAACTTACAGTTCTGTAGAAGATGGCTCTGTGTGACTTCTGTAAACCAATCTACCCATAAACCAGCAAGAGATTTTTAGCAGTATTTTATTGAAAAAATAATTGTTTTTACTACATCTTCTAAACTAGTAGGAGACAGGTTCTTGAAAGCAGTGAGTTTTGAACTAAACCTAAAGGAGGAGAGTGTTTAGATGAATTAACAGAAGTGGTAAGTCCCTGTCGTACTAGGCCTGGAGACCCTAAATAAGCATGGGGTTTGTGGAGGCCACTAAAGATTTGTTCTGAAAGAAGAGAAGGGCCTTTGCTGAATGGTGGGAGGGGTTGGACAGGCAGAGAAGGGCCAAGCCAAAGAGAGCTTTCAAATTCAGACAGAGGAATTTGAATAAACTACCGTAAGCAATAGAGCATTGAGACCTGTTTTTGACGAGTGATGAAATAAAAGCTGTTTTTAGGAAAGTGTTCAAATTCTCAGTTCCCAAAGCACAGTGGAAACTAATGGAACAGCATGGACAAAACGTTTTTCCTTTTTTTTTTTTTTTTCTTAATTCATTTATTTAGAGAGAGAATACAGTCAGTCAAATCATGGAACACAGTATCAATACAGAATAAAGGGGGATTAAGTTGAATTGTATTTCGTTTAAATTAATAAATACATTAAAAGAAGTAAATTTAGATTAATGTACTCACTAATGACACAAGTAACTAAGTTTCTAATTGGCTGTTATACTGCTTGACTTTTAAGATTATAATAAAAACGTTTTTCCTTGTGTCATACAGTGAGAAGACAGTGTTTAAGGGAGCCGATCCTCTGCCTCTCCAAGCGTTAACTTTTCTGTATAAGTACATTTGAATACTTTTTGATAGATACCTTGTGACAACGTTTCCAATGAGACTGCATGAGAAATGTGTGTGTGTATAAATGGATTTGTTTGTTTGGGTTTTTTGTTTGATTGGTTTTTGGTTTTGCTTTGGCATCTCTTGAAGTTGTCCATTTCTGTTGTGATTGGGCTCTGTCCTCACATGTTATTTGATCTATATAGGGTGCTGCTCCTGCTTCATGGGAAAAGGTGAATTATGCTGCTCATCCACAGAGCCAGGAACAAACATAAGCTCTAGTGGACCTGCGACGCCTTCCTCTGAGAAAAGTAAGTACCCCTGGGTCATGAGGATGGGTCTATAAAAGATACACTGACTAAGAGTATGTGTTCTCAGCCCTGGCTGGGTAGCTCAGTTGTTTAGAGTGTCGTCCTGATACACCAAAATTGCAGGTTTGATCCCTGGTCAGGGCACATATAAGAATCAACCAATGAATGTAAAAATAAGTGGAACAACAAATTGATGTCTCTCTTTTTCTCTCTCTTTCTCTTTCTCAATCAATAAAAATTTAAAAAAAATGTGTTCTCAAATAAGATGGAAGAAAGTGCTAATAGGATACTCATGCATAGATAGAATACTCAGTTTAAAATAAAGTTCTTACGATGTGGTAATAGGTAGTATTAGACACACACACACACACACACACACACACATCAATTTCTCCAATAAATTTAACCCTAGTGATAATTCCAAGAAGTGTAACCTAACCTCCATTATTTTTATTTTTTATTTTTGGCCTTTTTTTCTTGTCTTAGCAGCTGAGACTTCCCCCTCTCCCTTTCCCCAGGGCCAGGACTAATTAATTAGGGCTTAATTACATTTTGAATCCATATACTTAAAATATACCCTTTCTCATAAAAAGAGAAATCCTTCAAAGTAATAGCCTTTTGGCATATAGACTAAGAGACTGAATCACATTTGTGTTCTGGACTTCAAATTATTTAAAACAATTGTTTATAACACACTTATGTGAAGTTACAGTGTACTTTTAGTTGGTTATATTAATTTATAATTAAAGTTGAAAGGGAAACAGTAAAAAGTCTTCTTTATAATGAACCATAAGTCAACCATATTATTGCCAAAGGCATTATGTTGGGTTTTTAAAATATTTTTACATATTTTTATTGATTTAAGAGAGAGGATGGGAGAGGGAATTAGAAACATCAGTGATGAGAGAGAATCATTGATCGGCTGCCTCCTGCACACCCGCTACTGGGGATCGAGCCACAACCCGGGCATGTGTCCTGACTAGGAATTGAACGATGACTTTCTGGTTCATGGGTCGACCCTCAACCACTGAGCAACACCAGCCAGGCAGGCATTATGTTTTCATATCACAAATGTTGTGAAGAGTGTAAGAAACTAGATGCCCAGTGCACAAAATTTGTGCAAGGGTGGGGTCTCTAGGCCTGGCCAGTGATCAGGGCCGATTAGGTTCCACGCCTCCCTGCCTCCCCGCTTCGCCACCGCCTCCTTCCCTCGCCACCCGTGCACCACCACCGTGCAGTTCCCTGCCTCCCCGCTTACCCCCTCCTCCTTCCCTTGCTGCCCACGTGTCACCACTGCACAGTTCCCCACCTCCCCACTTACCCCCCTCTTCCTTCCCTCACCACCCGCATCTGCCGCCACCCACCCCTGGTTCCCTGTCCCAGCCCAGGGGCCTGGCCCTGATCATTTATTACAGGTAAAGCTTGAATTAGTAATTTAGCCTTAAATATATATTACATTGTTGAATAGTGTAGAAGGGAACTATTGCATACAACTCTTGTTTTTTTCAGATAAAAACACCCTACAAGTAGAACTTTCTTGAAACAACATGAAGGAGCCTTCCTCAGATTTCATCTAAAATGATATACTGGTTCAGAGCTGAATGTGCATATGTGGTGTTTTGCTTAGGAAGTCATTATGAATTTAAAATGCATTCAAATAAAAAGCTCTGATTACAAATTGTTGTACTTACTGTTTTATAGATGATCATTGTGAGAGTCGCTGTAACTCCCAGAGCTGCATATTAGTCCAGGAAGAAGAGCAGTATCTACAGAGTGGAGACCAGCAACTGACTCGACATGTGTTGCTGTGTTTACTTCTCATTATCGGCCTGTTTGCTGTAAATGTTTCTTCTGATTTTGTTTTGGGGCCATTTCTTTAAATGTTTGTCAAAGGTTTTATTCAGGCATCTGGGAAAAACTTAGTTACTACTTTCCAGGGGAGTGGCAGCTAGGCCATCTGAATCCTAATTTGAGCTAAATGTTTTTTGGGGAAAAGAGGAATAAATAATTCACATTACTGTGTTGCCTAGATGTCCAGTAGCTTATTTTGCTTGGAACCACTTACTCATTCTATACTCTGAACCTAGAATTTGGTAAGACGAGGTATCTTCGTGATGTGTGCAGGGCCACTTTTTCCTAGTGTACTCCTTGACTGACCTCAGTGGATAAATGCCTGTGTGGTCTCCCAGAAGATATTCCTCAGATAAATAAACTTTAAAAAATAATTTTTAAATTATGAAAATAACATAACCACTTCACATAATAGATACTTACAAAATAGAGAAAAGAGGAAAAATATCCACCATACTTCTGTCTTCTATTTTTTAATACATTTTTCTAATCATATATACAGATTCTGCTTTGTCACTTATGTCAACCATTTGCATGTTGCTGCATAGATGTTCATAACCATTACTTTTAATGGCTCCTCAATAAACCACAGAGGAGATACATTCTAATTAACCAATTCCTTACAGAGCCTTCCTAGTTTTTTAAAATGCTCTAATAAACATTTCCATGCAGTATATTTCCTTATGATAGATTCTCCAAGTTGGGAAACTTGGATCAAATAGTATAAATATTTCTCTGCCTTTGGATGAATTTTACTAAGTTGTTTACCAAAGGAGTAGTATAGGTGTTTGTAAAGTATCCTCACCAACAATGATTATTATAAACATTTTAATTTGATAATTTTATAGGTAAAATATAGCACTTTATTCTAATGCATTTTTTACTACTAAATGGTTTTTATAATTGCCTTTATGTCCTCTTTTGTGAATTGCCCGTTGTTTTTATATAATTACTAGTACTTGAGATGGTTCAAATGTAACTTGCCTAAAAATAGAAAATGGACCATATAACCTATGAGGGACCTTCCTACCCTTTTCACACTGGGATGCTCATTACACAGAATGATATCAACCAGCGCCATTTTAACTGCTGTTTAAGAACAAAAATCAAAAAGAAATGCTGCCAAGAATTGTTGCTTAGTGATGTGATTGTTTTCATTGTGTAGAACTAATTTTAAAATCACTCCTGTCTTAGGCTAGTTGGCAGTCCTGATATATTATGTAAGCTCTGTATTGTGGCTCATGTCTTCTTGCTTCAAATCTGATCAGAATAGATGCTGTTTGAGTGACATCTGTCAAGAGGAGAGGTTGAAACTTCTTGTTTGAAAGACAAAGCCTCTATATTCTCTAGGTGTTTTTCCCTTTAGTCTTTTTCTCCCTAATTATTAAGTAGTAGGTAAGTTTTTGTTCTGTGTTCTGGATAGATAGAAATGATTAGCTTATTTCATTTAAAAATACTATTTTCTCCTTCCTTTACAGAACCTTTCTAGTTGTTTATGGTGGCTATTCAACCAAGAGCCTGGGAAACTGTATGTTGAGTTACAGTTTTTCTGTGCTGTATTTAACTACGGCCAGGTATTTATTTACTGAGAATTTTGAGGGGTTTTTGTTTGTCTGGATGGGGTGATTGGGGGTGGCAGGACGGATGTGCTTTTCTTTTAAATCAAAAGGGTTTCGTTTGTTTGCCAGCTGCTGGTATGCGTGACAGCTGACAGCTGCTGCCTGTCTCTAGTAGAGATGGATTATTATATTGGTTAAAGTCATCACAATGCACACTGAGTGTTATAGTCAGAAATACTAAATCGTTTTTTTTTGCTTTGGTTTTGAGATGAAGAATGATAATGTAAGCAGCAACAAGATGTTCCAAGCACTTTTTAAACTTTGTTGTGGTCTTAATAAGTCACTTTGGGAAAATGACTTACCTTCTCTGAGCCTTTAGTTTAGCCACTTAAATTGGTTTACATTATTTCATTTACATTTTGATATTTCTTGAACAATAGGTACTTAAATCTTTTCTAAAAATTATAAATTGGTGTATAAGTAAATGTTGGTCAGGTATAGATAGTAGTTACCATTCCTTGAGAGGATATAATATACTACCATTGGTAAGCATTTTATAATAACTTTCCCATTTAAATATTCACAATACTTGCCAGGTAGACATTACATCCTCATTTAAAAATTAGAAATTAAAATTCTATGAAGAACTAATACAATGGTGCTGTTGTCTTTATGTCATTATTAAAATGAATATTTAAGGATAAATGGCATTTTGCATACTGGAAAAATGTCTTTTATGTGCAAATTTCAAAATTTGATTCTGTAGTCAATCACTTACTCTGAATTAGAGAATATTAGTCCCCAGATTGAGTATAAGGTTGATAAAAAGTGCTACTTTTAAAATTATTGGGTTTTCCTATGAAATCTAAAATAATTGGCCATGTGAGTTAGTTAACATTTATTGGTAAATATCCCTGCAAGTTTTTCCATAACTAATTTTTTCAAAATATTTAGAGTTTGTTTTGCCATTACTGTGACCTTAGGCAATTTATTACAGACAGACATGAGCATCTCAAGGGCCACTTGACGCCCACCTTACAGTGGAATACTAAGATCAGATTTTGTACTCAAGAACTATAAAATACTAGGTGGAAAAATCATAGCCTCACCCAGCATTTTGCATTTTTAAAGCCCACTCCCCCTGAGCCGTCCCAGGACTAGGACTGGGAAAGCTTCACAAACAAAAACAAATGCCAGAATGTTGCGTTTGAAATTCTAGCCCCACAGCTATGGCTCAAGTGCTTCAAAGGAGGGAGAGAGATACCACAACCTTCCCACACACACACCCTGCACTCCCACATCCCATTTTTCTCTTGGCAATGTATTGAGTGTTGTAGTCAGACCATTCCCTTTTGGTTATTTATAGTTCTGGGTGAAGAAAGGTAGGTCCTCATGTAATATATTGCATTCTCCATCCCAACTCCCACCCACCCGCACTTAGATCCTTACCCCACTGTGCCTGACAGATAGCAGTTCCCAACCTCCTGTCTCCCTCACCGTGTTCACAGCTCATATCTGGTGCCAGTTTGCCTCATCACCTCCTTTAAAGCCCTTTCCCTAAGCACTAGCCAGTTTCACTTCACATACATTTTATTCCGTTGCTGCATTATATTCAGATACTACAGCATTTTTAAGTTCTGTAATTTCTGAAGTTTTAACAGAAAATTAATAAGGAAATACTTAAGTACAATGTGAAATATTTTTTCTTTTTTAAGAGGGAAAAACAAAGAAATAAAGCCCTAAATGTTTTCATTTTCTTCAGTAAGCCAGCACACACGTGTGGTTGCTCAGCACTGGCTTCTATCACTCATCATGATTAATAGGACAGATGATGGGCAGAGGCAGCCAAATATCATACTTGCCTCCAGGCACTACATTTTAGAAGGTCTTCCTGTGCATTCTACTTAAAATGTTGCTTTAATCATACATGTTTGCTTCTCCACTCACTAAATTTGGTGGCTTCCACAATTTCTCTGTCTTGAAATGTTATTGTTGTATTCATAAAATCTAATTTTTTTTCTTCCATAGGGATTTATTTCCTTTGGCATCTTCGGATTGGACAAACATTTAATCATTCGACCTTTCAAAAGAAGGTAAATTTATTTGAAAAAATAATCTATATCTGTAGATGCTGCCAGAGGAAATGAGGCCCTTTCATGGAGTCGCAAGGAAAGCATTCCAGGGACCCACGTATGGGAGGATAAGGCTTAGTGGTAAGGTTTATTGTAGAAAGAAAATCAAAGGACTGTCCTGGGGCAGTTCCGTCCTGCTGTGAACGAAGTCCAGCCTTGTCTTCATCAAGCCCAGACAAAGACCAGTGCCCAGAAATCCTGTGCCATTGGTTCAGTCCATGTGAAAGCTTAGTCCAGTTCCGCCTCTGTCATCGTCCAGCTAGCTTAGCTTCTGTTCCTGGCTGTCCTCCAGCTGGCGCTGCATCGGCATACACAGGCTCACACTTGGAGCTCATGAGGTGTGCCGGACCCCAGGTGGCTTCTAGGGCCACATGGCTACTATGGAAAGAGATGGCGGGAACAAATGGGGAGAGCCCGTGTTACAGAGGGAGAACTTTGTTAAGCTGATTCTATTACCTTGGGCTTGGTAAGGACTAGGTGCTTTTTCAAACTAACCAATCAATTTCCTAATTTTTCATGGGCTTCTGCTGGTTCCTCCCCCTAAGAAATCCATTTCCTGGATCTTTCAGGGTTCTGTGTCCCTTATCCAATACAATCCTTTTCCCAGGCTTACTGCACATGCCTCATAGTAGAAGCATCTCCCCCTGCACCATCTTGGCTTCGACTGGGCATGTGCCCAGCAGAGGAATTTCTCCTGCTGTTTTATTCCTTCTCTGGAAATGACCTATAAGGACCCATACTGCCCCTTCTGGGATTGGGTCCTGGTGCAGCGGTGACCTGGGAAGCCTATGAACGCTGCAGCTTCCTGGTGAAGCAGGCTCAGTGTCCAACTCAGCTCCCCAGCTGATGAGGCTCCTTAATGTCTGATTCCCTTTGCTCCCTTCCTTTATTAATATCGAGCTACCTACCCTGACATAAAGGTGATGGCAAAGCCACCTGTTAAGATACTGGTGTTTGTAAGTCTTTAGTAGCTAACTGCTGGGAGACCACAGAAAGTGTAAATCACCACCACAGAAAGGTTATCTGTTAATTCACATGTTTGTTGTAAATAATTGCACAGAAGATATTAGAAAACTATTATCAATCTAACATTGTAATTTGCATTTTAATCAGAAATGATGAATGCTGGTTTCTATCTGTGCCATTATTAGCTTGGAGAAGAGTTCCCTTGAATTCAGATTGGAAATTTCTTTATGAAAAATATGAAGGGAGCCCTAGCTGGTTTGGCTCAGTGGATAGAGTGTCGGCCTATGGACCGGTCCCAGGTTCTATTCCAATCCAGGGCACATATCGTAGTTGCAGGCGCTCCCCAGCCTGGGCCCTGGTCAGGTTGCATGCAGGAGGCAACCAATCGATGTGTTTCTCTCTATCTTTCCCTTTCTTCCATTCTCCCTAAAAATCAATGGAAAAATGTCCTCAGGTGAGGATTAAAAAAAAGAAAAATGAAGTAAGAATACTCCAGCTTGTGGGTGGGAGACATTGTGGGGGAGGAGGGTTTAAAAAGTCTTGTACTTCATTTGTTTTCAAAGTCAAAATTAGTAGAAACTATAAGTGGCTAATGAAATTTTTACTACTAATGATATAAAAAGTGCCCAGCAAATGTTAACTGTTCTTTCTTCTCCTTGTTTTTCATCATCATTAACATCATCATTAAGATATAGTTGTTAGAGTCATAATCCTGTCATGGGAAAGGAAAAGTATAATAGAAAAGTCACTGAACTTAGCAGCTTCATAATGTTAATCAATTAAATTAGTCAACTAATCAAATTAGTCAACAGAGCCAGGCCGGTGTGGGTCAGTGGTTGAGCATCCACTATGAAGCAGCAGGTCACACCACATACCCAGGTTTCAGGCTCAATCTCCAGTAGGGGGAGTGCAGGAGGCAGCAGATCAATGATTCTCTCTCATAATTGATGTTTCTATCCCGCTCCCTTCTCTGAAATCAATAAAAAATATATATTTTTAAGTAATATTTTTTAAAAAAATATTACTTAACTTAATATTACTCTGGGCTGGTAGAAACAGAATTGTTCTGAACTCCAGATTCCATTATGTGCCTTTTGGGTACTGAAATTGGAAAATGACTAAATAAAATAATTGATCTCTGTAAATTACTTTTGCATTTCAAACAGTAGAATGTAGAATAAGAAACTTCATTTATGGTAGAAATTGAAATGAGTCAAACATGTCTGGAGGTTATTTTATAAAATGTCCAGAACAATTTAATAAAATACCCCACTGCACCCCATCTTACTCCCACCCTAGCCTACTTTGAATAGGAAACTGAATGCAAGCCAAGTATGTTTCTGCTTCAGACACTAATGATGTCTTGGTGTTGCAGATGACAGCTTTAGTAAATGACAGCTTTGAAACAGCCATGTTGATGGGGTAATAAGCAGGACGGGTTCTCTCTCAGTGCTTTTCTTTCCTTAAAATTGGTCTCCTTCAATTTTGGTTTTCAGACTTGAATTTCTTTGGAACAATAAAGAAACAGCAGGAAACAGGGATTCTCCTGTTCCTGAGGAAATAAAAATGACCTGTCAACAATTTATCCATTACCACCGTGACCTCTGTATCCAAAACATAGTCAAAGAAAGAAGGTGAGTATAGGTTCCAGATAATTATATTTTAACTGATAATTTTGGTTTGTAATGCAGTTGTGACTAACTACATGATTATTCTTTTTAATATCATATATACTTGCAAAAGTTAAAATAGTATGGGTCAGTTTATAGTTTAAGAAACAGCATACTATAAGAGCCATTGTCACTTTGATTTTTATAATTTTAAATGTCATATAACTTCCTCTTTCCTTAAAAACAGGAAAACTTTAGAAGGAACCAAAATGTACTTGAATATTAATATTCACTTCATGTTAACTATTAGTGTCTCTCACAAAACTTTGAGATACATTGGATTTAGAAGTGATTTTGTATTCCCCAGCCCTAGTTATTTCATATTATTAATGATGCTGTCAAGAAAATGAAGTGAAATTTCTTCTCTTAATCAATTCTGCTGCTTGTTATTTACAGTAGCCAAGATATGGAAGCAACTCAAGTGCCCATCAATAGATGAGTGGGTAAAAAAGTGGTGGTACCTATATACAATGGAATATTACTCACCATAAACAAAAAAGACATTTTAACATTTGCAACAGCATGATTAGGCCTAGAGGGTGAAATATGTCAAACAGAGAAAGACAAATACCATATGATTTCAATTATATGTGGAACCTAAAGAGCAAAATAAATAAGCAAACAAAATAAAAATAGTCTCATAGATACAGAGAAGAGACTGATGGTTGTCAGAGGGAAGGGGAATTGGGGGACTAGGTAAAAAAGGTGAAGGGAGTATGAAGTACAAATTGGTGGTTACAAAATAGTCACAGGGATGTAAACTACAGCCTAGGGCAGCGGTCACCAACCTTTCAGAGACCGCTGGCCTAGGTAATATATTCAGTAATCCTATCTAATAAAGAGCTAATATGCAAATTGTCATCATGCCCTCACAGCCTGATGCCCTCCAGCCGTCACAATCCATCACCAGGAGGCAGTGTGCACAGCGGGCATGTGTGGGTGGGTGGGCTGCATGCACGGTGAGGCGAGTGCAAGTGGGCGGGGACTTGATGCTGTGTGCGTGGTGCAGAGGTGGGTCCCGGCGGCTCCGTGTGGCGAGGTCTGGGGGTCCCGTGGCTCTGCGTGGCGCAGAGGAGGCAGGGCCCAGAGGCTTCTCGCAGCGAGGTCTGGGGGTCCCGCAGCTCCACGCGGTGTGGAGAAGGAACTCTCGGCTCCAGCCTACCACTTTGGGGCAGTCCATCGAGGAGAGCCCTGGATGGGTGGGCAGGGCCTTACTCTTTGGGGCATTCGATCACGGGGCTCCCACACAGTGAGAGGGCACAGGCCAGGCTGGGGACACCCCTCCTCCTGAGTGCATAAATTTTGTGCACTGGGCCTTTAGTCCTATGTAATAAAAGCCTAATATGCTAAGTGTCTGGCCATTCCTTCAACTGTTCAACCAGTCACTCTGATGTACACTGATCACCAAGGGGCAGACTCTCAGAACAGTAGGTTAGCTTGCTGCTGCGGTCCAGCTGATTGGGACTGGGCGAGATGGACCGGACACACCCTGCAGTCCTCCCACGGTCCCTCCCCGGCCCTGATCGTGCACCTGTGGGGTCCCTTGGCCTCGCCTGTGCCCTCTGGCAATCTGGGACCCCTCGGGGAATGTTGGAGAGCCAGGCCGAGGGACCCCACTGATGCACTAATCTGTGCACCGGGCCTCTCGTATTTTAATAACTATGTATTGTGCCATGTGGGTATTGAAATATCAGAACAATCCCTTTGTAAAGTATACGACTGTTTAACCACTATCCTGTTGGGGACTGTTTCTCTCTTCTCCATGTCCCGCATGGAAAAGGAAACAGTCCATTTGCTGAGTGGAGGAGCTAGGGATTAAGAAACGCGGTGTGGAGAAGGAACTCTCGGCTCCAGCCTACCACTTTGGGGCAGTCCATCGAGGAGCCCTGGATGGGTGGGCAGGGCCTTACTCTTTGGGGCATTCGATCACGGGGCTCCCACACAGTGAGAGGGCACAGGCCAGGCTGGGGACACCCCTCCTCCTGAGTGCATAAATTTTGTGCACTGGGCCTTTAGTCCTATGTAATAAAAGCCTAATATGCTAAGTGTCTGGCCATTCCTTCAACTGTTCAACCAGTCACTCTGATGTACACTGATCACCAAGGGGCAGACTCTCAGAATCCTGGACATCTGAAATTAATATAAAATAATGTTGATGTAAACTTTAATTGAAAAATAAAAACGCTTTACTCTTTAAAAAGCAGTTTTAGTTTCACAGAAAAATTAAAAGTACAAAGATATCCCCCCACAAAGAACTAGACTAAAAAAATTTCATTCTCATCTTCAGCATTTTCTGTCTTTCACAGCATGTAAAATATTTTTTTTAGCATTTGCATCACAGTTTAAATTAGCATGTGGAGGACAGTAAAACCACTCTTAACCTTGACCTGATCTTTCCAGTCATGTAGCCACTAGGCCACTGTGGCTATTTAAATGTGGCGAGTGTGATGGAGAAACTGAATATCTCCTTTTAGTGCTTACTTTTAATAAACTTAAACTGAAAATTCACTGAAAAATTTTAATTCTGCTGCTTATTTTTCACCTCAAGTCCTAATCTTTAGTCTAAGGTATCATGCTTATTCTTCTGATCCTCAAGATGTGGATCAAGTATACAGCAAGAAATCAAAAAACAAATGTTACCAATTTTTTTAGTAGTTGTAAAAAGAGATAAAAACAAACCAGAAAACCAAATACTTTTGTGTCTATACTGAAAATTTGAAAATTACCATTTAGGATGATTTATTTACATATTATTATGCCACTATATTTTATAATAACCAGAAGGCAGCCTGACATAGCTAGTGGAAAGGGGACTCACTGGGTGGGCACTAATAGGGGACTAATACTAGAACTCAATTCCTGGGTATGTCACTTATGAGCTGTGTGACACTGGGCAAGTTCAGTTCTCCAAACCTTAGTGTTCCTCTTTTTTAAAATAGAGGCTGGGTCTCTGGATTGTTCAAGTTAGATGACAAAATCTATGGAATGGGCATAGTCCAGTTTCTGGAAATGGTAAACTATGAAGAAAAGTTGGTTTCTCACCCTTAAGGGCCAAACACAATTATTTTTTAAAACTACTTTTTAAAATGTTTAAAGGGAACTCCCCATTAGCTCTACCAGGCCCCTGTTATTGCCCACTATCAGGAAGCATAGCTCTTGCCACTTGCAGGACTGCCAGCTGCCTCAGTCCCGGGAGGCAGAATGGGGCTCCACTGGCATTGGCGCTGCCCTGCAGCCTGCACAGTGGCACATTCTCTGCCTCTGCAATTTCACGAGCTGTCCTTTAGCTGCCTGATCAGTCATCAGGAAGCAAATATTATTCCCTTGGTGTTGGATAGAAAGTGTTGGGCTATAAATTAAAACTCAGCATGCAAGATGAATGCTCAGATTAAGGTTCTAATATTCAGGCTTCTGTTGAAAATGATGTTTTGGTTGCAAAGCATAAATTAAGATATTAATAAGTAAAATACTAATATCAACCTATCGTGATTTTATGTACTTGAGAAAATTTTTCATGTATATTAACCTCTTTTCTAATTTTTCTTTTCTAGTTTTTATATGAAAATCTAGTGTATATTCATTTGTGGTTAAATATTTTAAGATTTTTGTCACCTATTCTTTATTTCATCTTGATTTTCTTTTTTAAAATTTGTTTATTGGTGAAAGTATAACAGATGTCCCCCTTTTTCCCCATTTACCCCCTCTACCCTGCACCCACCCCTCCCAGGCCTTCACCATGCTATTGTCTGTGTCCATGGGCTATGCATATATGCATATAAGTTTCCCAGTCATTTCATCTTGATTTTCATCCACTGTTTCCTTTTGTCAAGCACTTTGGGTTTTACAGTTTGACTGATGCTTCTGAACAGATTCATATTGTCTAATGCACATTTATATGAAAACGTACAGAATTCTTTTGGTGTGTTTTTTTTACATTTCTTTCCCTTGTTTATTTGTTTTTACTTGAGGCACCCCATATTTGCATTAGGAAGACCATTTTAATACATTTTAAAAATCTTAGATTTGTAACAAGACAGATCTCACTTATTCTTCCCTTGCTTCCTAATGCACCAAGTTGCTGACATGTCATCAGTAAATCTGTCTTGGCTGCTGAGGGCAAGAAGAAAGGCTATTCATGGGCAGTGTGATAAGCAGAAAATACAAAGTTCATTTGAGTAGTTTAGTTAAAATTGTCCTTCTTAAGGAGCTTATAAAAATACTATTTAATGTTTCTGAGATAAATTATTTATAACTTTGAGTATAATTTACTAAATATATAATATTCAACTGTCTACAGAATGTATCTGATCATAAAAGGCCATCCTATATAATAAAAGGCTAATATGCAAATGACCAGTTGCTATGACGCACACTGACCATCCGAGGGCAGACGCTCAATGCAGGCGCTGTCCCCTGGTGGTCAGTGTGCTTCCACAGGGAGAGCACCGCTCAGTCAGAAGCCCTTGGCCGGGCTCATGGCTGGCAAGTGCAGTGGCTCCCCAGCAGCACTAAGGATGTCCGACTGCTGGCTTGGGAGCAGGCCTAAGCCGTCAGTCAGACATCCCCCAAGGACTCCCAGACTGTGAGAGGATGGAGGCCGGGCTGAGGAACCCCCCCGAGTGCATGAATTTCATGCACCAGGCCTCTAGTCTACTATAAAAAGAATATTTATTTGTAGATGAATTTACATTATCTGAGTGGGTTTTGTTGGTTTAAGCATTTCCGTTTTCACAGGCGTTATTGGCATTTTTTCTCCAGTGGGTCTTTCTAGGGTTAGGCGAGTCAAACCCATTATACTCATAACAGTGTCATTCCTGCCACAGTTTTAACTATCATGCTGTCTTTCCCTGTCTCCTCCTATTTTTCCTTGCTTGTCTTCTATCATGCAGTGCTGATACCAAGTTTACAGACCATATGGGTGAATCATTCCTTTGACATACAGGTGTGGTGCAAAGACTTCGGCTGGGACCTTCTGTGGCTGTGACCTGGTGAACTGGCTAATTGAAGTTGGCCTCGCCTCTGACCGTGGTGAAGCTGTTATATATGGAGACAGACTGGTGCAAGGAGGAGTCATCCAACACATCACCAATGACTATGAATTTCGGGATGAGTACTTGTTTTACAGATTTCTTCAAAAGAGCCCTGAACAGAGTCCTCCTGCTATTAATGCAACCACAACCCAGCAGGAAAGATATAAAACAATTGAGCATTCATCTCTATCCCCTAAGACCTAAGTTATGAAGGAGAGAACCTCACATGAAGTTGTATCAAGCCCCAGATCTGTTCTCTGACCCTCAGGTGCCTCTTCTGTAAAATTTGATGTTTTCCCACCCCACACTAACATACTGTGATTTTATGTGTATGTAAAACACACAGGAAACTGACTTTAGGAAAAATAAAAAAATTTAAAGTTCTGAATGTATATAATAACTGTTAAATAATTATTTAAAACTAATTACTCCAACATTTTAAAACATTGCTTCCTACAGTTGTTTGCTATAATTTCAAAATCAATATCCAATTTACTATTCCTTTAAATTGCCAAATTTGGCAGGTATATTGCTAGTAGAAAATGGACCTAAAATTATGACAACTTTGCGCGTATTGATAGCACCTCCTAAAAAAGGATTTTGCTGGTTCTAATAAGAGGCCTTCTTATTATATTTTCCCCATTTCCTTGACAAATAGTACTCATTAAAACTGAAAACACTATTTTTTAAGGTTCACCTTTTCTTTCCATAATACTAAACTGTGCCATTAGGAGAGCAATAAGAACTTCCATAAATCTTATCATCTACAAAATCCATCAACAGAAGTACAGTTTAATCTTTAACTTTTATGCTAAAAGTAATAATTTGAGATTTGTTTAAATTTTATCAACAAAATTATTGCCATGTGATGTATCATTTTTGGCGTTTGCATAAAGCGTCACAGTGTGGAAGGCTAACCCTGTTACTTTATTCCTTGTAATTAAAAAGAAGAAAAAAACTATGTACTTCAAGCCAAGATTTTCAAATTCTAAGCCTAACATTCTACTTTTACATTTAGAATTTAGTCTTTCTTGTGTCCATGTATAAAAATCAATCAGTTTGAAGATTTCTAAGTGTTGCCCTCAGATAAGCTTTATGTTCCTTCAGTAAATTAAATCTATGCACATGATCTTTGAACCTCTACTTACTAGGTGTCAGTTTTGGTTTAACTTATTTAAAACATGTTTTAAATATTTATTTATCTCATACTTTCAGTGTCTCATATATAAAAATCATTTAGAAAATAATTTATAGGGTTAAGTCATTTAATAAGTACTTTTTTAAAACCTGCATGGAAGCCTAATGTATTTAACAAGTACAGGCATACCTTGGAGATAGTGTGGGTTTGCTTTCAGACCACCACAATAAGGAAAATATTAAAGCGAGTCACACAAATGTTTTGTTTCCCAGAGCATATAAAAGTTATGTTTACCCTATACTGCAGTCTGTTAAGTGTGCAACAGCATTATGTGTGAGAAACAATGCACACACTGTAATTAAATATACTTTATTGCTATAAAATGCTAATCATCATCTGAGCCTTCAGCGAGTTGTAACCTTTTTACTGGTGGAGGCTCTTACCTTCAATTGGTAAAAAATGCAGTATCTGCGAAGTACAATAAAGCAAAACTCAGTAAAACAAGGTATGCCTGTAAATACATTAGTGTGTGATATTAATCTATAGCAATTTCAAGTTATGATTAGGGAATGAGGATATTTTTCAGGAGAACTGTCTTGCTGCAGAACTTTTTTAAGAAATATGACCACAATGTAACTCTCAATGCTCAGGAGATAGCATAAAACCTCACTGTTGTGCCAGTAGACCATTATAGCTACAGCAATAGCGGTATTAACTCACATGCATGCAGGCAACTCAAACTCAAGTGGAAAATTTGTTGTGTTTGTAAACAAGTCATACTACACGTTCTGTTATTTGCACGAGCGGAATCAGCGGCATCTTTTTCCATGAGAGACATTAAAAGAAAGCCAAAAAACAAAACAAAACAAAAAACCCTGGCTTAAAATGATCTGCAGTTTCAGAAAAAGAAGGCTTTTAAGAGATGTTTTCAGGATTAAGGATATGTTAACTTTATTAAATTAAAATGTTTGTAACTTTTACTCTCTCACTGACAAAGCAAGTTTCTAAATAAAAATACCTATTTCAACTTGCATTGCCAATGTCTTTTCTTCGAGTAATCTGAATAATGCAGAAGCCATCATAGAGGTATTTTCTGTAAGTTTTTAATGTTTTCTTAAATGGGTCTCCTGAGATTGTTCCATTCTTCATCACCTGGTGGGATCTGTGCACAGGCCTTGCTCAGTTATGCACTCAGTAAACTCTTTTTATTGACTCACACATTTCATAATTTTTAACATGCAGGGTCACAGCTGGAAAAATTATGATACAATTTTGATTAAAATCTACCACTTGTATGCTAATCTTCAACATGATCAATTGTTCTTTTCTTTGTTCTCAGTGAGTAATTCCATGACAAGCTTGTGCTTAAATTTCAATATTTTTAGAATAAGGTCAAGTGTACTTGGCATTTTCAGAATAGCAATTAATGATCAGTAAGTTTCTAAAGAAAAATGTAAAACTATTATTTAACATGTTTCCCATGCAACAGAATATAGCTCTTAGGTTTTGTCCCTTCATATCTCATATTATGGAAAATACTATATTATTTTAGACCACTGGACATAGATAGTCAAGTGATGAATGATGGTTAGAAACACAGTTCAGGATCAGAAATGTTATCACCATTCTTCAGGAAAATATAGGATGGCAAATTTATACACGTGGTATGATAAAAGCTGGAAGTAATTAAAAAGAGAAAACATTCACTCTATAGTACCTGTTTTTGGCAAGTTTTATAAGTAGGCAATAATTTTACAAAATTCTAGGCTGCATAACTATTTCTAGGGAAAAAAATTTTTATTGAAGATTAATATATAAATTAAGGTTTTCATCAAAGATTAAATGAGCTTTCTCTAAAATACTCAGTTTATTAGATTATTTCCTTGATTTAATCACACAATTATAAATAATAAACATCATTTAAGGGTTGACCCAAAAAAAAGCTAAATTTTAGCTACTACATATTTTATTTTTAAGAAACATAAGAAATGTAAGAAAATCTTAAGTTTTCTAAAATATACCACAAGGCATTAATGACCCACATAAGTACCAAAGCCCAAATACCACACTGGATTTATAGAGTGAAAGTGTCCTAAATTGTTTTATAAATTAATTTACATAACCTTATAATAATTCTTGTCTTTATCTGGGGAGTTCTTATTCCAATTTTGAATATGGGAAAAGGTAACAGGTTGATCTGAGAGTTATCAAAAGCTACCAAGTTGTACAGATTGATTGTCTACCTAATTGTCTTAATTTTACAGATAGAAAAGAGGACTGTATGAATTTCCATCAATACTTGAATGTTCATTTAACAAAATATTTATTGAGCTTGTGCAGACAGAATATTGGACACTGAGCATGCAACTATGGAAAAAAATATGGTTCCTATCCTCATAAAGCTTCTATTTTGCTGTGAGAGAACAGATGTTAAATACATAACAGTTATGATCAGGATCACCTGTGGCTCTGAGTATTTGTAACAAGAAACCTGACCTGGTGTGGTGTGGGGAAAACTTCCCCGAGAAAATCATGTTTCAGCGAAACTCTAAAGGATAAAAAGAACTACTTATATAAAAAGGAGCAAATGAAATGAATGGTGGAAGCAGAGAGTACAGACATGATATAGAAACTGGGCACATTCAAGTAACTGAAAATGCAACATAGCAGAAATTTTAAAAAACAGTGGCTTCCAGTCAAGATAGTGGCTTAGGTAAATGTGATACTAGAATCCTCCCACAACCACATCAGAATTGCAACTAAACTACAAAACAACCATCATTCAGAACTGCCTGAAATCTAGCTGAAGTCCTTCAACTAAGGATTTCAAAAGGAAGTCACATCAAGACTGGTAGGTGGCTGGCCAGAGTTGCTTAGTTGGTTGTTGTTGGAGCATCATTGTCCTATGCACTGAAAGGTTGCCAGTTCAATTCCTAGTCAGGGCACATGTCTGAGTTTTGGGCTCATTCCCTAGTTGGGACATGTATGGAAGGCAACCAATGTGTTGTTGTTTCTTTCTCTCTCTCTCTCTCTCTCTCTCTCCCTCTCTCCCTCCCTCCCTCACTCTCT